GATTATTTGTACATACAAGAACTACTGGTGTATAGGCCAGAGGTGTGGTGGGGTGGGGGAGGATAGGGTGGGTTGTGGTGGTGAGAAGATTCACCAGTGACAGAGTGGGAAATATAACAAGATGGATTTACTGAAATAGACTGCTGAGGGAAGCAGTGGGTGAGACAGGAGGGGTTTGCTGCACTGTGTGGGTCACCTCCCCTGGCCAGGGATTGAACTGGTGCTACAGTGGGTAGGACAGCTTTATAGTGCTGTGCTTTAACCCCTTGTGCCATCAGGGAGGTCCACAGGTTAAATATCTTGATGCAGACTCCACAGTTGTTAAAAATCTGAAATTTGATATTTAAAGGGCCGGTGGGTCTGAGACTTAAAATAAGACTATTTATTGTGAATCTCATATTTTTTTGTTCCATATGTTACTGGTGTTCGTTCAAAAAATAGTTTACAAAACACATTCATTAGTTTTATACCAGAAAAAAGCACTTCCCAAATCTTCATGTGTTTACCTATAAAAAGCATATAACCTTTATTTTTTTCAGCAGAGTATAAATTTCCTGTTTTACAGATTATTAAGCACTGTAGGTGTGTATTTAATTAAATTCCAAGTAGTTTATGCACCTGACTTTCTTTGCTGTGGAAATGGAAGTGAAAGGTAGTCAGTATGTACCCTATTCAGCACTCTGTGTCAATGAGAAAGGTCACCTGACTTTGGTATACTGTAACAGTATAGTTGGGTTAACATGAAAATACAAAGGGGAATAATGGTTATAGTAAAATATAACCAAAAAAGTAAATATGCAGTTTAAAGAAGAAATTCTCTTAACATACTCATAGATTTAGAAAGCAGCCATCAGATTGTATAGAAACAGCGGGGATTGCCACCCAGAGGAAGATGGGATTAATTGAACATATGGATACAAGGAAAGGAATCAAATATGTGACCATTACAAGAAAGGTTCCCTCTACCATGTAAGATGGAGCTAAAAGAAAAAATAAAAAGTGAAAAACTTGTTTCTTTTCAGGACTCTAGGTAAAGAAGAAACAGTTTTTCTTAAAATATCCATGTATAGATGATCCAGAAAGTCTCAGTCTCAGCTTCAACATTAATATAAAACTGATAATTGAAAATATAAAACCATTAGGGAAACTTGGCAGAATTAAATGTGAAACAATTTTATAGGGATGTTTCACACCAAAATACTTAAAATAAGCCTTCCATATATCAATAATTTTATGAAAATAGCATGATAAAACATAAGTTACCTAAGGAAAGACCTACCATAATGAAGAATAATAAATGGTGTAAAAACTCAGATTAAACTGAAAAGTGAAATAGAAAACTGGAAAGTGGAAATGAGGAATTTTCATCTAATTTACCTTGGAGAGAGAAATACATAGATATTTAGAAAAGATTGAGACCCAGAATTTGGGATTAGTTGAATCAACATGTGTAAAGGAAATTAGAGAGAATGTGGGTGGGAGGGATAATATTTGAGGCAATAGTGGCTTAAACATTTTCAGAATGGATTGAAGTACAAAATCCTCAAATTGAAATAGTACAATGAGCTTTCAACAGGATCAATAAAGATAAGTTATTCCTCGACAGATTATAATGAAACAGTACTTAAAAGACAAAAGTCTTAAGTAAATCTGCACAGTAAATAAAATTACCTAAAAGGATTAACAAATAAATTAACTGTAGTTTTCTTAGTAACAAGCAAAGAGTGAAAAAATATTTTTCCATGTGCTGATGGAAATCTCTGTACCCAGGTAAATGATCATTCTAAAATGCTGATGGTGCAGCCACTGTAGAAAACAGTTCTGAGATGGGCCCTCCCTGGTGGTGCAGTGAGTTAAAGTACAGCACCATGAAACTGGCTGCAGCCACCTCAGCATGAGTTTGATACCCGCCAGAGAGGTGACCCACATGGCGCGGCAGACCTCTCTTGTTCCGCCCGCTGCTCCTCTCAGCAGTAGACTTCATCACTCTGCCTGTTCTGCTCCCAACTTTGATGAATCCTGTCCTCACCTCTGGCCTGTGTACGGTTATTCAAATGTTAAGTATAGAGTTGTCATATGACTTAGGGAAATTCCAATCCCAGAAATATAGCAGGAAGAATTGAAGTTCAAATATGTGTATATCAGTATTCATAGGGCCATTATTCACAATAGGTAAAATGTGGAGACACCCAAAATGTCTATTAGTGGATGAATGAATAAACATCAAGGCATATAACAGGAGGTTATTTAACTATAAAAATGCTACAACTTGAGTTGAACCTCAAATACATTTTCCTAAGAAATAAAACTAGACCGAAAAGTTCCCCCCTATTAAATCATTCAATTAATATGAAGTATCCAGAACAGAGAAATCCATGGAGCCAGAAAGTGGATTGGTGGTTGCCAGGGCTAAGAGGAATGAGGATTAGAGAGTGCCTACTTTGAGGGGTGTGGAGTTTTCTTTGGGGGCCATAAAAATATTTGGAAACTAGGTAGAAATGTACAACAAAATGAATGGACTAAATGTCACTGAATTTTATACTTCAAAACAATAACTTTTATGTTATATGACTTTAACGTCAATTAAAAAAAATCAGTTGAAAATGATCTTGCAGACGAGGTGGCCGAGTGGTTAAGGTGATGGACTACAAAAATGATCTTACTGTTAGAGCTTGTGCCTTTCTGAGAGAAATGATAAAGTATAAGCTTTATTAAATTTGAGCTCAGAAGGAAGCACTATATCAAGTGGGTCAGTTTTAATAAGTACTAATTTCTTTAAAGAAGGAAAATATTGATAACTAAATATGGGAGATTTGGTAAAAGCAAGGTGGCTAGATACATTGATTAACTTTAGAAATATTAAGATAAAGTAGAACTTGAGAAAAAACCCTTATGATAGAGATTATTGCTTTTGTTGAGGAAGGGCACGAAAGACTTTTTTCTCATGTAGTAATCATGGGAAAAAAATTTGAAAATCACTTTCCAGTGGTGAACATAGTAAGTGGAAAAGAGGTCTGAGTGAATTGTATTTTGCAGTGACACAAGTCCTTACAGTGAGCAGTGTCATAGCAGCTTCCATACTGGGGGCGAATGCCTGGCGGTGGGGGGCCTGCTCTAGCCATGTTTTGCTGACTTAAATGAGGGGCACATATTCTAGCCAGAGTCTTTCCCTTCAGTTCCTCTTCTACCCCTCTCTCCCCAACCCCTCCAAAATTTGCCAAGAAAGCAGCAATGGAAGAGAATCTCATTGGTAGAGATAAATCTCACATGATGGGATTTTAGTATTTGTCAGATGACCAAAGGCAAGTTTAAGCTTCTAAAACTACAGCTAACCCCCTCCTAGGTCACTTACTGACAAGATTTGTATCAAAAGTTCCAAAAGTTACATGTAGAACCTAACTCCATCATGAACTATGATACTTAGAAAACTGATGGTCTTTCTGGAAAGATCATATGACACAAAATACATTTAAGGCAGGACTGCCTTGTGAGTGGGGCAAGGTGTATTCCTTTACAGACAGGGTAGGTGTGCAAACTACTGAATATGTGTGTGTGTGTATACATGCAGGTGTATATGTGTGTGTATGTATACATTTTAGTCGCTACCATTTTCCTGTTGTAAAGCTCTACTTCTTTAAGATTAGTATAGTCCTGGCCCTCCCTGGTGGCGCAGCGGGTTAAAGCACAACACTAAGAAACTAAAGCCACTTCCGCATGAGTTCGATCCCCACCTTCCCCAGAGCTGACCCACATGGCGCGGCAGACCTCTCCTGACCCTCCCGCTGTTCCCCTCAGCACTGTACTCACTCAGTTGGCCTGCTCTGCACCCCACTATGTCTCTGGTGAATCCTCTCACCGCCCCTGCACCTCTGGCTTATACCCCAGTTCTGTATGCACAAATAAGTAAATCTTTAAAAAAAAAACTCTTAAGATTAGTATAGTTTTTATGCTTTTATCTTTTTGCTTTTCACAAGAAAATAGTTGGAACCTGGCCTCTGTGTTGTCATTAGCCCTTGGTGCTACTTGTGGGTGCATTATTGTAGGCTAGAACACTAGCCTGTGATGTTGTGGCTCTACTGTCCTCCCATCAGCCCATAGACTTTTAACACCACTGACTGTTTCCTTGAAGAATTTTGAAGGACTGTTTGCTAGTTCCTCACTGTCCTCCCTCTTGACATACCAGCGTACAGACACTCATATGTACTTTCCAGTATTAAAAGGACTGAAATCCTGTTATTATCTGTGACCTCACCCCCATCCTCCCTTCTTACAGAAAAGCTCTTGTTTTCAGTGGTTGGCACACATGGCTGTTTGCACCATGCAACTTATCTCGTCCACTGCCAGAATTTTGGAACTCCACTCAATTGATGTCAATTCAGTTGTGTTTGTTTCTCTCTCCTTTTTTGCCCTCCCCCCATTTTTCCCATCTTCTGTGGTTTCTTGGCTTACACTCAGGGAGAAAGAAAAGATCCCCTATAGGTCTTGCCAGCAAATGAGCTCCATCTTTCTGCCCTGTGAGCAACTACATCAAGACACAGAGTATTTTACCCTGGAGCATTCTTGGTTTTGTTATTTGAGGCTCAGTTATCAAACCTTTTTGCCACCAAAAGTCGGATTTATACTGTCTTAGGGACATGAGATTTCGAAAAATTTGGTCTTCAACAGGTCCAGTGTTGGGAAATTAGAGCGTTGCTTTCTGAGTAAAACTAGGTATAATTTACTTTCCATGTCCTTGTCTTACAACAGGAGAAATGAAAGGCTAATAAGTTCTGTTTTAAAGAGATTTTTTTAGTGTGTCTAGAACAGTTTTGCAGTGCACATGTTATAGTTTACAGTAGTGATGTGAAATTATAAACTATTTGTATACTGCAAATGGAGGACACTTGCAAAATCTTATGATCCAACTAGATGGCATGTTAGGTTTTTTTATCTTCAAGTTTTAAATATTCTAAAATGTTGACACCATTTCATGTTTGTGTTTTTTCTCCCTTCCTTCCTAGAATATTTTCCTTCTTGGATATAGTAACTTTGTGCCGATGTGCACAGATTTCCAAGGTAGTGTATTAACCAGATTTTTTTTTTACAGTAATATCTACATGTGATTCTTTTTAATTATTTATAACCAGATTTTAAATCAACAAATTGAATTATATTAGAATGAAGATGAATTTTAGTTCAAATAAACAGTTGAAAATTAAAATGTCACTTTTTATCTTTAACGTGTTATAATCTGCATTTAATTGTCAACTTAGTGTATAATCAAGAAAAAAGTTTGGAAATACAAAGGTTAAATCAAAACTTTTTTAAAGTCTCAATAAATATTATCTCTTTTCCCCGAATCTCTCCTGTTTTGCCTCCCACCTCCCAGGCTTGGAACATCTTAGCCCTGGATGGAAGCAACTGGCAAAGAATAGACCTTTTTAACTTTCAGACAGATGTGGAGGTAAGTTAACCTTGTTTGAGATAAAAGACTTTTTAAATATAAGTGAATTGCTCATTCTTTCCTACCCTTGGGTTTTTCTAATTTTAGATTTAATAGTAAGATGCCAAGGTAGAATTGAGAAGAAAGACACAGGGCTTAAAAAAGGTATATTATTTACATACATAAAGACCAAAATTCTGTTTGTATTTTTCTCTTTATTGTGTATCAGTAACAGACAACTTTTCCTCTTCCTCATATTTATGAGTTTTATTCATTTTTCTTTTAAAGATTTTTTCCTATTTTTTAGGTATACAAGAACTGGAAGTAATAGAGACAGTGTAATTGTCCATAGTGTTGTTATTTGAGTGGATTCTGGAGTGGATATTCAAGATTGCCCCATGTTAATAAAACTATATTCATTTCTAGTTAGCCAGTTCAGGCATAGAATGGAATTGCATTTTAATCCAGTTATTCATGTAGCATCCTAATAATTCCTTTTCTACTACTCTGTATGTTTATGTCTTTTTGGAAAAGGAAATAAATGGTCCTAACAAGCAATTTTCTGTGAGTTAGTTAGCCTGGTATACCTAAAGACAGTAGCTGAGGCCTTTCATCTCCTCCTCTAGGTTGTTGCGTGCTTGAGAGTCTCTGTCTCCATCTCCCCGGTAGAGCAGAGCACCTCCACAGGCAAGGGCGTCCCACCTTGTATTCCTCCCCGATTGTGGTGCTCTGAGCTGGAAAGTGTGTAAAGACCAAAGAGCTTCATTCCCAATCCTGGAAAAATAGTTCTGACTTGTACTGTAGTTCCTGAATTAGAAATTCTTTAATGCGCTTTCCAGATTTAAAAGCAATGACTTCAATATCCTGTGAACATGCTGACATTGCATGCCAAGCAGGATAATTCCCCTTGAGATGAATAATCTGTAGGATCTGTGTTCATTATATTCATTTGGCAATGTTTTATGCTAGTAGAAGAACTTTTACCCCAAAGTAAAGGAGCATAAAAAACTTACATAAATGTGACTAACTTGGAATGAAGAAAAAAACACTATGTACCTATTTGTAGATATTACTGTAAAGATTTTCTTGTGGTTTTATTTGGTGCTTGAATATTTACCTTGGATTTTCAAGTCATAGTCGTTTTCTTCCCTCTGATGACATATACTTTATAGTTGTTTGGAATTTTGTTTAAAAAATTGTCACGGGGCCAGCATCTTAAGTTGAAAATTCAAACTGTGCTCTGTTATCAGCTTTACTTATGCTTTCTTGAATATTAATATTCGATTAAAGATTTATTTATGTATGCAAATGTACCCCTGGGGTACAGGGCCTTGGGGCCCTTCCTGGCGGCGCTGCAGTTTGAAGCGCAGCTCTGTGAAGCTCTCTGCAGCCACTGCAGCATGAGTTTGATCCCCTGCCAGGGAGCTGACCCACATGCCTCGGCAGACCTCCCCTGTCTCACCCGCTGCTCCCGGCAGCAATGTTATTTCAGTAGATCCACCTGTTCTACCTCCTACTTTGTCTCCGAGGGAGGTGAATTCTCTCAACCCCCTTATCTCTGGCCTGTACCTGTACCCCAGCTCTTGCATGCATACATAAATAAATCTTTAATCGAATATTAATATTCAAAAAATCATAAATAAAGCTGATAACAGAGCACAGTTTGAATTTTCAACTTAAGATGCTGGCCCCGTGACAATGTGTGAGCCTTGAACTTAGCACCCTGTGGTCTGATGTGTCCCAGTGCACACTCAGTGCTCACAGTTCAGTGCCAAGTGTGCTGGTTTATATGAAGCAGTACAAAATTGCCCTTTTCCTTATTTCCCAGCTTGTGGAGGTAGAAGTAATAATATCATACACACAGACTTCAGAATCAGATAAACTTGGCAGAGCCCCAGGTCTGCTGCTTACTAACATGTAATCTTGGCAATTCAACCATTTGCAAAATGAAAATGAACCTGTTCTATATTGATCAGAATTGTGCAGAGAAACAGAAGCGATATGACATGTATAGATCTAGGTCTAGAGAGATTTATTTTAAGTAATTGGGTCATGATTAAGGAGGCTGAGAATCTCACAATCTGCAGTTAATCACATGGAGATCCCGGAGAGGCATGTGAAGGCCTGTGAATCACCAGAGCAGATGGTGTAAGTTGCTGTCTGCAAGCTGACAGGTTTCAGACCCAAGAAGAGCCTATGTTTCAGTTCAAGCCAAAGGCTAGAAGAGACCATTTTCCCAATGGAAACACTCAGGCAGAGAAATTCTTTTGTATTTTGTTCTATTTAAGTCTTCAACAGGTTGGGTGCGGCCCATTCACTCTAGGGAGGGGAATCTGCTTTTCTTAGTCTACTGATTCACATAGTAATCACATCTAGCAATATCCTCACAGACACAACTGAAATAATTCTTGGCTACATGTTTGAGCACCCTGTGACCCTATCACATGCTCATCTCTTACCAACTTGGCACCCATACTCTTCTCCTTAGCTAGACCTACTCTCCAAGTAAGGATAATCCCGAAGCCATAATTTTAACTAAGTGATACAGCAATCCCATGTAAAACCCAGCACACACTAACTCTGTCCTCAGAAGAAGCAATAAGAGCCTGAGTGACGTTCATTCTTTTCCTTGTTATCTTTATCGTAACTACTGTGATGTAGAAGAAACAGAAATTAAATACGATAATAAAGTTAATGTATCTTGCGTTAACATAAGCAAGTAAGATAGCAGGAACAAAACAAATTATTCACTTAATACACACTCAAACACATATTTATAACAAATCAGGACATACTCATAATTAGTCTTTCTTGCCGTAATTGACCACATGGCCACAGTTTGCATTCATAGCTGCTGTTTCTACCCCTTCTGTACTACTTTTGTCTTCTGCCAACAACCGAGCTGGTTGTGGTTCTTTGTGGAGTTTCCCAAACCTTCATTCCTGAAATGCCTGGGCCTTTGGTAGGACCGGCTGGATTGACTTGTACTTTTCTGTTGACTTTAATCACAGGACAGGGTAAACTAAGAGACATCCTGAGGGCTCTGCCTATAATACAGATATACTCTTCATTACTTTCAGTGCAGAGTAATAGTTTATGATATTGTCGTATTAAATGAGACATAATAGTCAAGTAAAAGAGTTGAAATGGTGCCTGCCAAAGTGAAATTACTTAATCGATGTTCATTTTCCTTTTCTAATATCTCTGCCAGTACCAGCAAAAGTTCCTTTCAAAGAGAAAATATCTAAATAGGAGACTGCTAAGAAAGATACAGGGAATTTTTACAATGTATTTCCATACTTTTAGAGTAGTGATGTTCAGCTAAAATAGGATTCCTTTTTATGGCAATGTCGTTTAGATCCCTGTTCGGCTGCGAGTATTCTCACAGCTCACTTCAGAAAGGCTTATAATTGGTTGATTAGCTGTGAGCCCTGGGTAGAAGGACCTACACTTCAGAGTGAAGGCTTTCAAAAATTAGTACAGTTTTATTTTTTAAATATGTAATGTTTAATCAAAAACATTTTTCAATGCTTCAGTCCCTTTACATGCTAGGAGCAGAAATGTTATGCTGGAGGAATGTCCTGAAGTCTTCTTACAAAACATTTCCAGGTCCTGAAGTTCCAGTTACTATACTGGGACATAGGCAGCATGATAAACAAGATTTTTCTCCAACTTTCTTTTTTCAAGGGTCGAGTAGTGGAGAACATATCAAAGCGGTGCGGTGGATTCCTGAGGAAGCTCAGCTTACGCGGCTGCATTGGCGTGGGGGATTCCTCCTTAAAGTAAGTTGGTGCCACGGTGGCTCCCTCACTGTCAGGGAAGCTCACAGCTGACATTTTATCAACAAAATAAACCTGTGTGTTTGTACTTTTCTTTTGTTCTTTCTCTAGTAATTTGCATAGAGTAATGAGAGAACTATGGATGACTTGGGAGTCGGTAGGCCTGGATTAGAAATGAGCTCCAGTAATGTGAGGGGGGTGACCTCTTGGGACGAGTTGTTTCCTATCCCAGTCTGGTCTCTTGCAAGGTGGAGGTGGTTACAACTTTGACATGGAAGTGTTACGGGAACCATGGAAAGAAATGTCTGAAATCCTGGCACATAATAATGTTACATTAGTTCATCTCTATTCCTGTCTTCACTTTTTCGCCTTTCTAGTTTCCTAGAAAAGCTGCCCTTTTATAAAGATTACAATAATAGGCAAAATAATTATTTCCAAAATGTGCTTAGCCTAACCCCGCATATTATTTACTCATATGGGACGTGTTTAATGCACTCATTTTATTATAGTTAGCAATATATCCTACCTGGCAAATGCTTTCCCATCTTTTACTGGATTGTCATTACTTATTGAATCTACTGTCAAGGACATGTTTTGAGCTTTTCTGGAGATATACATGACAAGAATCTTTATGTGCTTTTACATTTTTTTTTAAAAGATTTATTTATTTATGCATACAGAACTGGGGTACAGGCCAGAGGTGCAGGGGCGGCGAGAGGCTTCACCAGAGACAGAGTGGGGAGCAGAACAGGCAGATCGACGAAGTACACTGCTGAGGGGAGCAGCGGGCGGGTCAGGAGAGGTCTGCCTCGCCATGTGGTCACCTCCGGGGCAGGCGGGGATTGAACTCATGCAGAAGCGGCCTGAGCTTCTCAGTGCTGTGCTTTAACCCGCTGCGCCACCAGGGAGGGCCCCTTACATTTTTTTTTAAAGATTTATTTATGCATACAAAACTGGGGTGCTGGCCAAGGTGCAGGGGCAGTGAGAAGATTCACTAGAGACAGAGTGGGGAGCAGAATAGGCTGACTGATGAAGCACACTGCTAAGAGGAGCAGTTGGGCAGGTCAGGAGAGGTCTGCTGTGCCAGGTGGGGGACTGGGAACTGAAGCCACTATGGCTTGCTTGCAGCGCTGTGCTTTAACCCGTTGTGTCACCAGCCTGTGTGCTTATTCTTACGGCCTCTTGGTTTCTTTTTCTTTTTGTCATGTTTTGAGCTAACATTGGGCTGTATATATATGTATATAATTTAGAGGTGTAGAATTGTTTGATGCTGGCTAAAGTTTGAAACACTAGCACTTGAACTTTGTAAGGAACTTGATCTCTTGCAGATCTAAACATTACCACAATATACATCAATTACAGACCTTTCGCAAGAATGTGTAATATATATTGACTGCAGACAGTCGAATTTGTAATAGAAGCATCTGTCACACCATTGCTAAGATAATTGATTCATGACTTCTTAGAAAAATCAAAACATTCACTGTAAATGTTACAAAACAGTGACTTTTTTTTAAGTCAAGAAATTAAAATCATCACACCAGATTTTTTTGAACTTCAAAAACTTTGTAAGCCAGTGGAATGAATGGATTGATTCTGTTTTAATAACAATTGTAAATGTACCGATAGGTCGTAAGATAATTGTAAACAGAATATAAATTCAGTAATGGTTCCATTAAGAAAAAATGTGAATATGTGGATTGTCAGTGAGTGATATCAAAGAAATATATTCTTATTTTGCAACTGGAGTAAAAACATGTATTCTCACAAAAGAATGTTTATTGGGTTACCATAAATTTTATAGCAGAACATCTATATACATTTTTATATCTAAGGACCAGATTACTGTGAGAAATAATGATAAGCACAATCACAGAATTGGGACTCAGAAAAATATTGTTGCTCCCCTAGTTTTCAGTTGTAATCACTTAGAACTAGCCTGGGCTTGCACTCTGCCCCACCATGTATGATTACTGCTTTTGGGCAAGGCTAGCTATTCATTTGTAAATGTTTATTCAGCCCCTGCTAACTAGGTCTGGATTTAGCCAACGGTGATTCAGTAGTAATCCATTAGTAATACTAATGGATATTGCATACATATTCGCTATCTATTATTGTATATGAAATCTTAGGGGTTTTTAACAGCTTTATTCATAAATAACAGTCATAACTAACTGTACATATTTAAATTATACAGGCTTTTGTACACACACACACACACACACTCATGAAATCACTGTAATCAAGATAAGTTCATGTTCTGTTCTTTTTCTCACCATGGTTCATTTCAGATCGTTTCTTTCCTTTGTCTTCCATAATCTGCCCTTAATCCTACCCATTAAATGTTCAGCTCTGTCATTATGGTTTTCATATCAAAAAGGTCAATTTGGGCCTCCTTCGTACAAGGGGTTAAGTCTCAACACTATGAAGCTATCTGTAGCCACTGCAGCATGAGTTAGATCCCCAGCCAGGGAACTGACCCACATGGCACAGCAGACCTCTCCTGCTTCACCTGCTGCTACACTCAGCAGTATACATTGTTAATCAGCCTGTTCTGCTCCCCACTCTGTCTCTGGTAAATTCACTCAGCACCCCTGGCCTGTATCCCAGTTCTGTATGCATAAATAAATAAATCTTTATTAAAAAGTTCAATTTGGGGGCCCTCCCTCGTGGTGCAGTGGGGTTAAAGCACAGCACTAAGAAGCTAAAGCCACTTCAGCATGAGTTGGATCCCCGCCCCGGAGGTGACCCACATGGCACGGCAGACCTCTCCTCACCTGCCTGCGACTCCACTAAGAGGAGCAGTGAGCGAGACAGGAGAGGCCTGCTGTACCACATGCGGCTTAGCTCCCTGGCTGGGGATCAAATTGAGGCCACGTGGTGACAGCACTGAGACTTCACCCCTAAGCCAGCAGGGAGGCCCCTAATTGGGGTCTCGGTTGTAATGTAAGAATCTTCTCATTGCCAGTCTCTCCAATGCCCCATGAATTATGGTGGAAGTGGGTACTATTCCTGGCCCTCAGTAAGCTTTGATTATTGTTCCTATTAATGCTTTTTGTTAATTCTTTCTTGGCCTTGGTAGTTTCCTCACGTATACTCTGATTGGTATACACTATTAAATTCTTGAGGGGAATTCTGCAGATCTTTGAATTCTCTCCTTGTGTTCAGCTTCCTTGCTTCACACTGATTTTTCAGTAGAGCCAAAGGGACAGGCAAGTAGGCCATCAGTCTCAGATAACTACTGAGGTATCAGCTATGACTAACATGTCGTCATTCTAGGGCTTTGCTTCTAAGGTGTGGTCCCAGACTAGTATCTCTGCCATCACTTGAGAGCTTCTTAGAAATGTAGACAGTCAAGCAGTTTGCTGAGCTCTACCATCAGAATCTGCACTTGATAAGATCACAGCTAATTTGTGTCATAACGTTTGAGTAGCACTAATACCTATAGTCAGCAAAAAAATATTGTGCACTTAAAATTTTGTTAAGAGAATAGATGTCATATTTTTTTTTAAGTTTTTATTTATTTATGCATACAGAACTGGGGTACAGGCCAGAGGTGCAGGGGTGGTGAGAGAATGCACCAGAGACAGAGAGGGGAGCAGAACAGGCAGATCGACAAAGTACACTGCTGAGGGGAGCAGTGGGCGGGTCAGGACAGGGCTGCCACGCCATGTGGTCAGCTCTGAGGCCAGGGATCGAAATTGCACTGAAGGGACCACAGCCAGCTTTGCAGTGCTGTGCTCCAACCTGCGGCACCACCAGGGAGGGCCTTAGATGTCATGTGAAGTGTTCTTTCCATAATCATTTTTTTTTTTTTAAATTCAAGAAACACTTTTCTAAATGTGAGTGTTTAAACATTCCCTCTTGTGGCTGTCTAATATTTTGCAGGTAGTTTTTAAATGTTTTCTCATTTTAGGACCTTTGCACAGAACTGTCGAAACATCGAACATTTAAACCTCAATGGATGCACAAAAATCACTGACAGGTAAATCATTAACAGTAGTTTGCTGACTAATTGGCCATGGGGAGGGACAGGGGAGAGAAACATGGTTGAAAATATCTTTAGTGTTTCTGCTCTTTTTTAGCACGTGCTATAGCCTTAGCAGATTTTGTTCCAAGCTGAAACATCTGGATCTGACCTCCTGTGTGTCCATTACAAACAGCTCCTTAAAGGGCATCAGGTAAGAGTGACTGTTTCTTGTAGCCAAGAGAAGCCCAAAACTAGGAATATTCTGATGTGTCTAAATACTTCCTAATGGTCCCTTTGGAGCAAGAAGTAGGTGACTTAAGCAAGTCACAGAATTCTCTTTCCCCCCAATGGCTGGATCTACTAAACCCAAAATTGGTGATGAATGTTCTGTGGGTAGACGGCACATGGGTGGTTTTGTTTCTTGTCTCTTAGTGAGGGCTGCCGAAACCTGGAGTACCTGAACCTTTCTTGGTGTGATCAGATCACGAAGGAGGGCATTGAGGCACTGGTGCGAGGTTGTCGCGGCCTGAGAGCCCTGCTTCTCCGGGGCTGCACACAGGTACCGGGCTGCTGTCACTGTGTGTGTCGTATGTGTCAGTTGGGGACACGTCAGCTTGCTGCTGCACTCTTCTGACTGTCCCTCTCTTCTTTCACTGGATTTCACCCATTCTGTTTTCTCTGTCTACTCAGTTGGAAGATGAAGCTCTGAAGCACATTCAGAATTACTGCCATGAGCTTGTGAGCCTCAACTTACAGTCCTGTTCAGTAAGTAGCATGTCTTTCCTGCGAGCACCCCCTCATTCCATGTTACCTGTCTCAGGAATCTGCTGCACGCCAAGTAGGCATGCTGGGTACCACACCCTCATCCTTACCCTGTGTCTTCATGGGAGCTCTCAGGTAGTAGCAAGATGCAAAGCAGCAATCTCAGTGAAAAGGCATCATATTCAACTCAAGCCTCCTGACAGTTCTTCTAAAAATGGCATTGTTTAGAGTTTTTTTTTTTTTTAAGATAATGGGAACACTGTGAGCTAATTAACTTGAACAATTCATGATGAGCTCTCAAAATACTTTTTAAACTTATAAACGGGGGGTGATGATACCATTGTCTCAGTGGATAAGGTGAAGTAGCAGATATGAAAATTCTTTAAAAAATAAAAGGCATATGCAAGAACAAGGTGTGCTTTCATCAGAAGAGTAGCCCGTGAGAAACCACTGCAAACACTGGAAATTGAAAAGGGTGCTTGGGCCCTCCCTGGTGGCTCAGTGGGTTAAAGCCCAGCACTGCAAGTGAGCTGCAGCCACTCAGTGAGAGTTTGATCCCCAGCCCCGGAGGTGACCCACATGGCGCGGCAGACCTCTCCTGACCCGCACGCTGCTCCCCTCAGCAGTGTACTTCAAAGATCTGCCTGTTCTGCTCCCCACTCTGTCTCTGGTGAAGCCTCTCACCACCCCTGCACCTCTGGCCTGTACCCCAGTTCTGTATGAATAAATCGTAAAAAAAAAAAAAAAAAAAAAGGGTGCTTGCTATATATCCCACTGTGCTCTTCAGGGGGAAATTAATTTTGAGAACACTAAGAGAAATTCCTTGCACTTGGCATTTAGTGAATGAATCATAAATCTTCTGAGCCCCTAGTAGTGGATATAAAATAGAAACTGTCATCTAGACGTATATTGACCGTTGGGCCTGTCCTGTTCAAAAACAGGACCTTGAGTTGCATGTCGGGTAGCTCTGGCAGGTGGCTTGAAGTATAATATAAATAAGCATGTTTATTTCTACATAAATGGTGTGTAAACATAAAGCTATTACTTAATAGTATGATTACATTTGTAGATTTATAAGTTATTTATACTTTAGTGATTTATTATTTTTGCTGTTTTTTAATACAGTTGAGGAAATACTATGAATACACATGTATGTTTACATGTATAATCTAAAGTTAGTATGACATTCAACCCAAAAGGAGTTTATCACTTAATTAGACATGTCTAGTGAGTTCTTTATCTGATTTTTTTTTTTAAAGTAGAACCTTTTTTTAAAGCTGTATTTATTTATGCATCCAAGATCTTGGATACAGGCCAGAGTTATGGGAGGTGAGAGGATTCACCAGAGACAGAGTGGGGAACAGAATAGGCAGATTGACGAAGTCCATCAATCTGCTGAGAGGAGCAGCAGGCAGGTCAAGAGAGGTCTGCTGCGCCCTGTGCATCACTCCCTGGCCAGGATTCAAGTGCTGCAGTGGCCTTGGAGAGCTTCATGTGCTGTGCTTTAACCTGTGTGCCACCAGGGAGGACCATTTTTCTGATCTTTTAACACAATTCATGATTTTTTCTGGAAAAGAGATCAAATGATTTTGAAGGGAAAATGGAATGTGAAAATTTTGCTCTCCATTAGTTAAAATATATTCCTCTCAGTGTGTGCAGAGGTAACAAGTATCTCAGCCCTGTACTTAAGCTTATTTTGTTTAAATTGTTAGGGTAAGATGTTAGTGATGGGCATCCAACACTTAAGGAGCAATAGCAGATAGGCTTTTTCTGCTACTCCCATCTCATTGTTGCTGGTGCCTGCTGATTCGCCTTCCTGTTTTGGTTTCCCCAGCGTATTACAGATGAAGGAGTCGTGCAGATATGCAGGGGCTGCCACCAGCTGCAGGCCCTCTGCCTCTCGGGCTGCAGCAACCTCACAGACGCCTCTCTTACAGCCCTGGCGTTGAACTGCCCAAGACTTCAGTGAGTGAGCCATGTCTTGTGTTCTGTAGCTCAGCTGGCCTGGGCTGATGGAGGGGCTCCCGCAGGCCAGGAAAGGTTTGCTAGCAGGGGCAGGTGGTGGTGGAGTGTCGGGGACCAGCCTCAACTATCAAGCTGCTGGTGGGGAGGGAGACAGGCAGGGCCCTAAGGTGGGAAGGCATCAGTGAGCGAGGTGTCTGGTGGGGAGACAGGCAGGGCCCTAAGGTGGGAAGGTGTTGTGGAGATTCCAAGAAGGGAAGAGGGGAGTGAGGAGCAGTGGCAAGGAAGACACAGAAGTCATCAGAGTTGAGTGTAAGTCTTCCTGCTCATTCCTCTCAGCAGATCTTTATTTAAACTGTGTAGCAAGTAGTTAATTAGAGTAATGTATAGGGTAGGTTAATGAGAAATCGCCATAAATTGTTATAAATGTTTTCAAGGGAGAGGGTAACAATGTATCTTCTTCCTGACACTCTGTGGTATACTAAATTATGTGTATTTGTGATAATTGTCATGTATACAGATATTTGACTATAACTCAAGGGGAGAGGAGTGTGGGAAAGGATGAGCTATTAGCAACAGATTGTTAGGGGTCTTAGGGAAAGAATAAATTGTGTTAGCAGAGTCACTAGTGATTGTCTAAAGAGACGCTAATAGCTAATTTAAGGCTAGCAGAAAGTAGTGTTTGTTTAAGAAAAGGGTAATTTAAGGCTAGAAGAGAATAGTTAGGGATTGTTTAAGAAAAGGGTGATTTAAGGCTAGCAGAGAGTGGTTAGTGATTATTTAAAAGGAGTAAATTAAGAAAAAGTTGTACAGTTGTGCATTAAACATCACCTGTATAAACAAGGTTAAAAGATTGTCCATGAGTCCATATGCCCTGGGAATCTTATCTGAAATTTGCTTTTTGTTTAAAAAACTGAGGATGCTTTCCAAGAGTCTTTATGCCCTGGGGTTCATATCTCTCCTGGGGCTTGCCTTTGTCTCAGGAGATAGGGGCAGCGCCTGCTTGTTGGGGCCAGCCAGTCTCCTTATGAGGCTAAGGCAATCCAGTTGTAAACTGATGGTTGCCCAGAATATTTTGATATTGTGATTATACAAAAAAGGGAGATCTTGACATAAGTTAGCAGTGGAAATTCTGATTTTTCAGAGCTTCTCCCTTCCACTCAGAATTTGTCAGTCAACAGAAGTTGCGTAGCTTGTTTCAGTAGAGGAGGCAGTGGTCCTGTGGTTGATGGCTTTTTCTGGGTGGATTGGCTGGGACAATATGCCCATCTAGGGATGTCCAGAATACTAAAATATACACCACCAAGAAATTTCTTGATGAATTTTATACATTTGCTCACATGATTTGCTGCGTGGTGTTATTTCCTTGACATCACAGTGATCTGTTAGCAAACAGAGCAATGACCGTAAGTCCATGTGCCACCAGCTTCTCCTTTAAAACCAGCTACTCAGTGGGCAGAAATGGGCAAGGAGGTGAGGGAGCAAAGTCATATTCACCTTCTTTATGCATTATCTCCCTGTAGCAGGAAGAAAAGTTTTATTTTAAGAAATTGTAGTTTTTTATTTTAAGAAATTGTTTTCTGATTCTCGTGGTAATACTGTTAGTATTAAAACTGTAATGTTGGCAACAGTAGTTAATATCAGTTAACTCATATGTGTCCCAGATTCAGTGTTAGGTACTTTTATAAACATTATCTAATTTAATTCTTATTACACATTTAGAAAGTAGATGCTGTTTTCTCTGTTTTTGTAAAGAATCTGAGAATTATAAGAAAATCACTTAATGGGTTCCATGTTGAGTAAGAAATATAACTAGAAACTTTCAGAGCTTGAATCTGAACCGATCTTTCCTGCCCTATAAAAGTGGCAGGAAAAAGATACCAGCTTATTATTTACATCAGTGAAACATCGATTTCTCATGCTTATACCAATTACCTATATTTTAAAGATTGTCTATTTCTGTTTTATCCATGTTTCTTAGTGATTGCATTAGAGAAGATTCTACATAATTTTGATATTTCTATATAGTTGAAGGAATCTGAGTCATCGAAACTGGTCAGAAAGGAAGTTAAAATTATCGCTGTATTGGGTTCTTTAACCTAAAGGTGCTATTTGTATGTCATCCATCCTTTCTGGCATGAACACTGAGAATTAGCCCATGTATTTCATTAACTGCAAAATTTTTGTTGTTTTGTGTTTTAAAAATCACATATATATGTATATGGATATTTATTTTTATATATGTATGGCTATTTATTTTCACTAATTTGCCATTAGTTTATGACGCTGTGTAAGGTTCTAGCGTATAGACAACTTCATGCCTTGATAAATGCATATGCCATGTCACACCCACCACTAGAGTTCTGGAAACACTCACCGCTGTCAGAATGACTCCCTCTACCTGCTCCTCCTGCTCCTCTTTGCCTTGCCTTTGATAAACACTAGGTGTTGGAGTTTTTAAGTTGTTTTTGTTGTGTTTTTTTTTTTTTTTTAGTGAACACTATGAACAAATTTATTCCTAAGAGCATTTGAGCCGCTTTCTTTTCTCTTAAATCTTAACAGTAAGATTTAAGACTCTTGTGTTTTCTTAGCTTGCTTTATTCTTCTGTGTTCCCCCATGTTTCTTTTCTCTTTCTGGCTTATTTCATTGGGCATAATCACCTTAAGTTCTGTCTTGCTGTTACAAAGGCATGATTTCATCTGAGGAGTATTCCCCTGAATAGGTAAACTGCATCTTTAGGGGCATTTCAGTTATTTCCATATCTTGCCTGTTGTGATTAATGCTGCAGTGAACTTACAAGTGTGTGTATCATTTCAAATTTGTGTTTTCATATTCTTTCAATAAGTAGTTAGAATTATAATCATTAGATTACATGATAGATCTTCTTAAAACTTTTTGAAGAATATCCAACACTGTTTTCTGTAGAGGCTGAACCTATGGGCTTTCCCACCAACAGTGTACGAGCTTTCCTTTTTGTCTGTAATCTCACCAACACTTGTTAATTCTTGCCTTTTTGATAATAGCCAGAGGTAAGGTCTTCATGTGATCTTCACTTCACTAATAATAAGTGATGTTGAACACTTTCTTGTACTCATTGGCCACCTGTATGGCCAGTTTGGAGGCATGTCTGTTCACACCTCTTGTGCAGTTTTTTTTTTTTTAGATTTATTTACGAATACAAGAATTGAAGTGTAGGCCACAGGTGGGGGGTGGGGGGAGGGTGAGAGGATTCACCAGAGACAGAGTGGGGAGCAGAACAGGCAGATCTACTGAAATATACTGCTGAGGGGAGCAGCGGGTGAGACAGGAGAAGTCTGCATGTGGATCACTTCCGGGCTGGGGGTTGAACTTGTGCTGCAGTGGCTGGCAATAGCTTGATAGCACTGAGACTCAAGCCCTGCGCCACCAGGGAGGTCTACTTGTGCAGTTTTGTGTTTTTTTTTTTTAATTGTTGAATTTTGTGAGTTCTTTTTTATATTTTAGATATTAACCTCTTTCAGGTATACAATGTCCAGTATCTTCTCCCAACCAAGTGGTGGTCTCTATGTTTTTGTTGTGGTTTATTTGCCCATTCAGAAGCTTTTTGGTTGGATGTTGTCCATTGATTAATTTGCTTCTGTTACTCACCATTGGAATCAAGTCCCTCCCTGAAGATCTGTAAGAGTGATGGCAGCGTATTGTCTGTATGTCTTTGAACCTTTATGATTTAAGGTTTCTATCCAAGTCTTTAGTCCATTAATAACTAACTTTTTGCAGTATAGAATAATTTTTTTACAGCACCAAGAGTTGCAATTCTAGTATTGTGGGAAGATGCCTGGATGTACTACCCAAGTTTGGGGTGGGACTTTGGGGTAGGGCTTAAGCTTTGTCCTTCTGGGCTGGACTCTGGGGTCTCTGTGTGCTTCTGACCTTTGGAACTGTTCTCAGAAACAAAGCACGAGTCTGCATCATAATGTGTGTACTTCCATGGTTAACTAGTCGCTACTTCTTCTCCCCTGCACTCCACTTCCCAGGATTTTGGAGGCTGCTCGATGTTCCCATCTGACTGACGCAGGCTTTATACTTTTAGCTCGGGTAAGGCAGTGGTTTTAAAAACATTTAATTCACCTCTCTAACTCAAAGTGACTTGGGGTGGTTGTGGGGACCACAAAAAGCTATGTACAGCAATGGTAGAAGAATAGAACTCTCGGCACACTTTGCATTTTTTCCCATTGGCTAGAAAACTAGGAATCCTGAAGCGAGGTTGTGGTGGTTCTAGATCTCACAGGGAGAGAAGCCTTCTCCCTCGCAGGACACGTCCAGATCCCAGCCCAACTTCTGAGAGCCTCTCCTGCCTGGCTACGCTCTGACTCTGCTGGCTGGCTCGTTGCCTGGTGGATGCCCACCTGCACGGGTGTGTCTGGCCTGCTGCCAGGGCGGGTCCTTCAGGGGATACGGATTCCCCTTCATCTTCCCACTCTGTGGCTCAGCCCCCCACCACCTGCCCTCCCGCAGCTTTCTCTGGCTACACTTTTCATGCTGATGTCCGGGAAGATGTAGGCAGCTGCCGTTTCATGGTGAGAGAAGGGGATAGCAGCCCTATCCCCATATCCAGAGTGAAAGAAGAAGAGCCACAGGGCAGCTGCTCAGACGTGGGGCTCACTGGGTCACTCACTGGGTAGGGCACCGCCCTAGGAGGGAGAGGAAAGTACGTTAGGTTGGTATTCAGAGGGACAGGACAAACCACCACGGTTGCCCCAGCCACTGACCGCGTGCTGGGACTGTCTTCTGGACTCTTGCAGAATTGCCATGACCTGGAGAAGATGGATCTTGAAGAATGCATCCTGGTGAGTGTACTCCTCAGTCACTGCCAGCCAGCCCGGGAGAGCCAGGGATGTGGGCTGGTCTGACTGTGTCCACCCTGCCCCAGTGTGGGTATCAGGACCCGGGAGCCAGTGAGGGCCGGGGCTGGTCTCTGTCACCAGACAGAACTGTAACAGGGAAGTTCAGGACAACGACATCTTTTGCCAAATGAAAGCAAAGAACTGTTAAATTCATAGAGTTGGAGGGAGATGTGAGCTTAAATATCCTGCGGCAAGGTGCCACTACAGAGACTCCTGGGGGACCTTCCTTGTCCACTCCTCTTGCCCCCGGGCCCTTTGGGGCACCAGTCATGAGTCCAGAGAACAATTTTGCAGCTCTAGGAGTGGGCAGATTTGACATTGCTGGTGAAGCGAGGAGTTTCCAGCCCAAGTGTGATTAAGATGAGTTTTTAATTTTCTTTTCCACCCCTTTTGATTCTTGTGTTCAGCAACAGCCAGGATTAGGTATTAAGTTCTGGTGTTCAGGCCACGCTGACACAGTGTTTCTCTCCAGATAACCGACAGCACACTCATCCAGCTCTCCGTTCACTGTCCTAAACTGCAAGCCCTGGTGAGTCCAAGTTTTTTGTGAACTTTTCCCCCGTGAGGGATGAGAAGGACCCTCTCAAGGTGCCATTGGGGTTTCCTTTCTGCAAAGGTCTCCATGTTCTTGATTTCGAGGATATGTGTTGGGCTTGCTTGGGGGGCCAGGCGCCTCCGTGGGGCTGCTTTCACTGCGGGAGGTGACTCCTGTGCTCCGCACTTCACTCACGGGTACGTACATCTCATCAGGGGAGTGAAAGTTTCCATGTTAAAGTGATGTAAGAGAAAAGGGCCATCCATGTGTTACGTTTTCAGTATCTGTTCCCCATATGCATCTATGGGGAAAACAATTAGAATATATTAAGCGATCCCAGATGTGTAGTGAAAAGTGTCACTGACCCTTTCGTCCACTTAGACGCACTTCGGCATCCGGCTGACCAGGAGCCCGCAGCAGCGCTGGGGTCCCACTCATGCAGCAAGCCCGTGGAGCTAGTCGTCACGGCCTTTAATCCTGCCTGTGGCCCTGTAAGGCCGACACTGTTAACATCCCCATTCTTTTGGTGAAAAAGTGAGGCCTGGAGCAGTTGAGGAACTTGCCCAAAGCTACACAATTGTTCAGAGGCCCCAGATCTTCTGGCCTGCATAGTGTGCAGTCTCCACTGCCCTGAGAGGGCACAGATTGTTTAGTCCAACTTTCTCTGTCATCTTTTAAATTTGCACTGTTCTCAGGATCTAGAATTTTGTAACATTGTTAAAGTTTCATTTGATTAGGAATTACTGTCCCCACTTTTTTTTTTTTTTTCGATTTATTTACTTAGTTATGCTTACAGAACTGGGGTACAGGCCAGAGGTGTGTGTGTGGGGGGAGGATTCACCAGAGACAGAGTGGGGAGCAGAACAGAGTGGTGAGGAGAGGTCTGCTTTGCCATGTGGATCGCCTCCAGGGCAGGGATCAAACTTACACTGAAGTGGCACTGGTCAGCTTCGCAGTGCTGCGCTCCCACCCACTGAGCCACCAGGGAGGACCCACCAATCTTTCTTCTCAATGTCCTCTGGATACTTTCCCCTCAGGCACAGTGTAGCTGGGCTTTGGACATCTCTGGGACATTTTTTAAATCTTTGGTATCAAATTTTGCAGATAAACCAGGAACCTAGCTGTGTCCAAACTCTCTTAACTGTTTTCCTCTGTGGTGTGCTGGTGAGTTTTTGTAGTTCTGATGATGTCTTTACTCCCAGGTTGTTTGGCTGATTCTATAATGGACAGACTTTAAGTCAGTATTTTTTCTCCTCTCTAGTCCTTTGTTAGTGGAAATCCCACTTTAGGATGGAAGCTCAAGAGGGGGTTGCCCTGAGCACAACCAGGCCTGTGTTAGCTCCCTAGCGCCTGCCGGCCATCCTGCCCCAGGTGTACAGGGTCCTTGTCAGGGAATGTCTTCCAGATACAGTGCTTTCTTCACAGGGATTCCGATGGTGGGAAATCGCCTTTTTTTTTTTTTTTTTTTTTTTTAAGATTTATTTATGCATTCAAGAACTGGGGCATAGGCCAGAGGTGTAGGAGTGAGAGGATTCACCAAAGACAATGGGGAGCAGAACAGGTTGATGTTCTGAAATACAGAATCAGAGAGAAGCAGCAGGTAAGACAGGAGAGGTCTGCTGCGCCATGTGGGCCAGCTCCCTGGCGGGGGGCCATACTCATGCTGCACGATGTGACATAGCGTGACAGTGCTGAGACTCAACCCCATGCACACCAGGGTGGCCCTGAACATCTCCATTTTATCCCTTATATTTACACAAGCTACTTCTGAAGAGGAGACTTAGGGTTTGATAAGCTGTAAGACTGAAAATTTGAGATTAGAGTCTGGGCTAAAAACCAGTAGCAGGAAAGCAATGGAATGCTTGCAGTGGAGATCTAAATTGGGCTTTGACGAGTCCTGCTAGGCCAGACAGAAAGGGAGACACTACAGACCATGTTTTGTACCCGTTTACTTCACTGCACAGGACCAGCATGTGCCTGTGTTCTGAGAACTGGAGAATAACGCAGTTCATCAGGTGAGAACTTGGTCCCGCTCTGAAGAGTAGAGCGGACTCCACCGCACGTGCTTGGTTGGCCCAGCTTTTCACGGCAGCTCTGGGACGGCTGAGGCGGCCTGCCATGTGTGCCAGGGAGGATGTGCCTTCCTCTCCCCTGAGCTTCTGCTTGGGCCGTGACCACCCAGGAGCAGTCCAGGCCCTTTTTCTAAGGGAAACTGACCAGAGGGAGGCCTGAGGACTTGTTCACATTAGGGAGCCCTTGCTTATATGGAGAGCAAGGCGGCAATTTTTGGGAAAACCATTCTACAGTCTCCAAATTGTGAAATATGGCCAATCTTTTATTAGACTAGTGAGCAGGAAGGAATGAGAGAAATGACTACAACCTGAAGCTCAGTGACTTTCACACTTTTGCTCCTAGCATTGTCCTTCAGACATGGAGGAGGCAGGTGAGCAACTCGGCACCCTCTGGGAATTGCCCTGTGAGCCCGGGGGAGAAAGTGGCTTGTCCTCACACACGAAATTCAGCAGGCTGTTTGGGAGAGAAACTGATGTGATCTTGAAAATAAGTCAAATATGTATTTGCAAACAGAAAAGCTCTGATTTAAGAGGATATGGCATAGGTCCTGGATTTGCTGTGTTAAAGTTCGTTCAAAGTAGATGCATGATCCTCTTTATTACGCAAGTTTTTAGCTTACAGGATGTGGCTTTCCCAGATTCTGTTGATTATGGAGGCTTGCTCTCTTCTGCTATGGCAGTTTTTTCCCCCTTTTAAAATGGTATAATGCAATGCCTAGAAACCATCTAACTTGAGCTTATGCAGTCTATTAGGGAGTAACTAGATGTAGCCTTTGCTACATCTTGATTTAATCCCCTTTGCAGTCACTTCTGTTAGCCAAAGGCAAATAACCTAAATGGGATCAGTAATCCCACCATCTTGACATTATTCACTTCCATTTGATAGCCCCTGCCTCCCCCTCAGCCTAGCTTGTGTCCAGTTATGAAATCACCTCCGTCCTCAAGATTCACCTTTACTTAACAAAGCTATAATCCTATTTAATCAAACTTAGCTTTTGAGTCAGTTCTCAAAGCAGGGGCAGGGGAAAGGATAGTCTCTTTACCAGATGAGTTGGGGAAGCTCGATACCCACTTACACCATGTATCTGTTGGCTGAGGAAATGTCTACTCAAATCCTCTGTCCATTTGTAAATTGGGCTGTGTTCTGTAAACATATAAATGTATAAAACATGTAAACTGGATTGTTTGCTTTTTAGTTTGATGTAGTTTCACTTTTTGCTTTTTGGAACCAAATCCAGAATCAGCACCAAGGCCAACATCATGGAGCTTACTACCTGTTTTCTCCCAATCTTTGATGATTTTTTTGTGGTTTCAGGTTTCACATTCAAGTCTTTGATCTATTTTGATTTTTGAATGTGGTGGCAGACAGTGGTTCATTCACTTTTGCATGTGACTGTCCAGTTTCCCCAGTCTCTATTGAAGAAACTGTTGTTGTTCTCATTTGTCATATGATTTGTCATAAACTGACCATGTGTATATGAGTTTACTTCAGGGTTCTCTGTTCTACTCAGCTTGCATGTTTTTATGGCAGTACTGTGCTATTCTGGTTGTGATAGCTTTGTAATATAGCTTGAAGTCAGGGCAACAAATACAAGAGCCAAATCCCACTTCACTTAAAGTGACCCCAGTTTCTTCCTGTGGCCAACATCTCTATCCTGTTAGTGAAATTCTTGAGATGATCTTTCTTCTTTCCTATTCTTTCTCTTTCCTACACCTGTCAGAGTAAATAATGCCCATTGTTTGGCATTTTAAAATTTGAATTATTTTATTCAGTCTTTCATTATAACAATCAGAAAGAGAAAAAAAAACCTGGCTTAATTTGAAAAATGCAACAGAAAACCAAAAATTATTCTGAGACTCATTTTCATTGTCATTTTGCTCAAGGTCTTCTCTAAGAACCTATCCTCAATGCTACGTGAGGATGTAGTGTATTTCTACTGTTTTGCAAATTGTCCCTTTGACCAATAGTTACATGACATCTCAGAAGCTCCAATTTATGCTGTCTACTCCCAAATTAGCCTGGGATAAGCGACTTTGTCTGGAATATTCTCTCTTCTAACTCCTGCCCTAAACAGGTGAGAATGGAAATGCAGCCTGCTGCTTTTGATACTGTACATCCAGTGGGTGGCCTGGAGCTTTAACTATTGGTCCATTGTTAGTGTGAAACAACAGGCCTCTCTGCTGTGTGAACTGTGTTGCCTGGTTTTCTTGTGAAGTCAGGAACAGATCGTGGCCCCTCTGGTTTTCCTTTAATTAAGCCAGTTTTTAAAAAAATATATAATTCTTTACATCATTTTTCATTTTGTGCATTTTTTCATCTCATTTGTAATCCCAATGGACCTCCCATCACAAACTCACCTGTGTGCAGTCACCAGTCCTGTGCGCTCTTTCCACCCATTTTGACCCTACCCCGCTCCCCCCACCCCCACAGAATGTCTCTGGTTCCTAGTTGTTCATTTTTACTTTATTACAATCACTTTTTTCCCCCTGATCCCTTATGCTCTTGCTGTGAAACCATCAGCATTTTTCTTTCTGAAATTAAGCCTGTTTTAAAAAAATGTTTAAAGTACTGGTATACCCCAGTAAGTATTTCTCAGTACAATCTTCCCAGATCCAGTTAACTCCTGACCCCTCAGGTCCCCTATATTGACAGTAGAGTTGGCGCTGTTCCTCTATCCCTATTATTTTCTTGCTTCAATGTGTAAACACGTTTAAACAAAATTAAGCACACATACACACACATTTTCTTCCTGGTTGCACTTTATTGTAAGCAGTTGAATTCTATCTCTTATACTAATAAGCCTTCTGCTTTATCCAGAAAGCAATTCTAAAGCTTGAAGTTAAGATACAGTGATTACATAAATCTTACTTCATATAGTGTGCATACAGATGCATACAATGTGGTTGAATTTATGGGGGGGATATATCAGTTCCATGTAAAACAGTCTTAAGAGATCAGGGTCTGATAGCATTTCTTTTTCCTTAATTTTAGTTTGTATTCAGCTACCTGTTTCTTGTATCTAATGTTAATATCTCTTGGATTTTTGAAGCTGGCAAAACCCCTCAGCTGTAACCATTTATCTCTTTTCCACCAGAACTCCTCAGGTTCAAGCTAGCAGGCATTCCCTTGCCCCAAACTGACAGTGTCTCCCTCAGTTGTGCTCACATTTTACACTCAAAAACTTGGCAGTTTGTCTTCGTTCTTTAAACACAAGTAAAATACACAAAAAAGAGCATTTTTCATTCGTGTATCAGTACATCTCTAGACCTGAGTCAGTCTTACCAAGGTCCCAGAAATACTCCCTCTGCTCTCTGATTATCACTGAACACTCAACAGTAGACAGAGATGCTTTGTATAGCACCTCTGTTTACAGAGGTGGTATGAATGGAATCATCCCAGGTAACAGTCGTGTCTGGCCTTTTTACGTTCACATTTGTGAACTTTATCCATGCTGCGCTGCTGCACGGTGTATGCTGTGGCTTATATATCTTTTCTACAATTGAATACTATCAGTATTGTTAGGTCTTTTGGTCAACACATACATGCATTTCATCAGGAATATCCAAATTCTGCTGTGCAACATGAGCGTTCCAGTTGCTTCACATCCTCCTTTTCCACCTATTTTCATGTTAGCCATTCTGATGGGTATGTCATAATATAAAAAATGTTACTGGAAAACAGATGTGGTGTTTACCTTCTTCCTAAAATCCTAAGAATCAAAGGAAGATTCCTTTGTGTACCCTATACATTTCTATGACCTGGCTTGTAACTTCCGAGTCTTGGTGTAGATGCTTCCTTCGTCAGACTTTTTCTGTTCGTACTTACCCTCTTCTGCCTGCCTTGCACACACAGCCCTGCACCCTCTTCTACTGAGCTTTTAGTCCTTCAAACTCAGTGGTCCAAATTCGTATTACTCCTTCAGTTCCGTGGTCAGATAACACTATCATAGGACCTCACAGTGCACATTCACTTGTTTAATAGGTTCTTGGCTAGACCAGAGCTGAACAGTAGTTTTTTTATTCAGCATTACAATTAGGGCTTGGCATGTGTTAGAAAGAACAAATGAGTTACTGGGACTGATGTGATGCAGACCTTTTTGTCTCAGAGCTTTTAAAAGCGTATGAATATTTTACATGCAGTGGGAAAAATTGGCAAGTCTGAGATTACCGACAGAAGAATTGAAATGATAAACCTTTATTGTTTGTACTCCAAGAGTAGTCAGTAACGTCACATCATATTGTTCAAGGTCTAATTATAACCTGTAAAATGCTCAGTGTGAATCATCCTGTTCAGTTTTCTAAATGAACGAGGACATCAAACTCATCACTAGATGCCTCTCAAATGGAGAAGTAGCTGTAAGACTACACTCGGTGGAATAAACGCCTGAAATTTCCCCTACAATTTCGATTTCCAGCTTGACACAGTCAGAAAGTTAAGACAGGTCACTGCCCGGTTACCAAACTTGTGGTCTAAGGGCCCATGGCTTTGTTTTTTAATAAGTAGTTGGTCTGAGACCCTTCCTATCTGCTTGTTCTCCCCACGGCAGAGTCTGTCCCACTGTGAGCTCATCACAGATGACGGGATCCTGCACTTGAGCAACAGCACCTGTGGCCACGAGAGGCTGCGGGTATTGGAGCTGGACAACTGCCTCCTCATCACTGACGTGGCCCTGGAGCACCTGGAGAACTGCCGTGGCCTGGAGCGCCTCGAGCTGTATGACTGCCAACAGGTCACCCGCGCAGGCATCAAGCGCATGCGGGTAGGTGAGGGGTGGCAGGCAGCCACACCCGCCAGTTCCCAGCCGTTTCCCAGTCTTGTCCTAAGCCAGAAGTTAGGCAGACCTCTCTACTTGGACTCCTTTAAATTGCCTTTATTCAGTTTCCACATAAGAGCAGCAGCCTCGGCTAATATCTGAGGGCACGTTAGAATTTGGCTCCTTTTCCCAGGTGGTCTCACCATAATTGCTTTCTTGAATGTTTGATGTTTCGGTCACTTTGTATTTACCCTGCAAGTAGCCCTCTCCAGGTGCTACGGCCAATAAGAACTCCCCTCAGTTGGCACAGGGGACTAGTGACCCCCCCCCCGGGCAAAGACCTGATAGCCCCCATTTTTTAGAAGATGCCATTTTAAGGGAGGTGGGTCAGCAGGACTAGCTCTAGCCTCCACCAGAGCCTCACCTTCCTCATAGTAGAGGTGATTCCTATGTGGACACCTGTGGGCTTTTCTAGACTTCTACCCAGAACCAAAAAATAAGTGTGACGATGATAACTCTTTTCTTTGTTGTATTTTCAGGCTCAGCTCCCCCATGTCAAAGTCCATGCCTACTTTGCTCCTGTTACCCCGCCTACAGCTGTGGGGGGAAGTGGACAGCGACTCTGCAGGTGCTGCGTCATTCTCTGACAGCCACTGCCTGGGCTGAAGGCATGGAGGAGTTCCTTCTGCCAGAAAGACCGGAGCTGCTGACCTCTCCACCATCACCCAACTGTCTCTCCATCAAGGAAGGCATTTACAGGTAAAGATTTCTGTAGGATCACAGTGACTCTGGTGACAGTGTTCACTTTTACATGCTGCGGTGCAGTCCAATCAATGCCTTGTTCAGTTAACACTTGGCAAGTGCGGTTCCAGTTTAGCCAGGGCCATGTGAGAAGCCTGGCTTTCTTCAGATGTGGGTGGCTGCCTAACTCCAGAATTCCTGCCCTCGGCTTTAGCAGCATTCTTCAAACACCATCAGTGTTAGCACAAATTGAACAGAAAAAGACAAGCTGTTGATTTTCTACCTGATACTTAAGCCAGTGGCCTACTTTAATTCACATGATTCCATTTTGTGAACTTTTCCACTTTACCAACTTTATCAAAGTGACTGTACTGCAAATGTAGTCTAAGTAGAGACTTACGTGGAAGGCAAGTTAATAGGTTTCCACGAGACACCAAAGAAATGAGGACTCTAAACTGGGTAGAGCAAGGTCTTCACCTTTCTGTCAACTTGTCATACACATTTCCTGGGACCAAAAACACCTCAGAGTTTGTGTTGCCCGAGTGGAAATTATGAGCTCTGGTGGATGTTACAGCATGTTTTTGTTATAGGAATAAGCTAATCCTGTCATCTCTCCCAAACTTTGGGGACCTTACAGAAAGAGAACTAATTAAGGCTTGAGTTACCTATAATATTAAAAAATAATGAATGGATGCATGCAGAACAGGTGTGATTTCTTTCCCAAGTTTATTTTTAAATTTTAGAAATGAAGTTACACCAGAACTATTCAAAAACATTACACTTAAAAATTCAATCATGTGTTGGCACTCATATAAATGAATAAGCCATTGCAATGTCAGAGGATTTTATTGCTATACTCGTATGGCAGACCTGAGTAAAACCATTTTCCAAATTTAGACCCTCCTCTAATGTTCTGATTTTCTGCTCCATGCTGTTCACCCTTGTGATCTTGATTAAAGATTAAGAACCCATCATGGTTTTCAGTGTGACCCTCTATGTTAATGGTAGTGGACCTTTCCTAGCAACCAGACTCTGGTTCAGAGCTAAGAGAAACTAAGGTAGGACAGCAAAACCGAGGTGTTTTCCAATGACTAGTGCTTCTTCATTTGGTTGGACAGTTTCAGAAGGATTTGGAATACAACGCCTTAGCTGCTTTCTTAGGGAGAGAAGGCAGGTAAATATGTAAGCGTTAAAAGTCCAGATAGTCTATTCCCTTATGGATGTACCCCAGCATTTCCTGATCTAAAATTATTTAAATAACACTATCGTCTACAAGGCTCAACACCTCCTGACCTGATGTAAATTAAGTCACTGACCAAGACAGGAGAACCTCTGATAAGGAAATGAGGTTTGCTACTCTCCAAAGCGTGGAACAGTTACTGGCCTACCTTGAAAGCTTTGAGAAAACAAATGAATAGAACACACTGACCTGTGGTCTGTTGTGGCCTTGGAACCCCTTGACTTGAGGTGACATTGGTAGAAACTGGAATTTTAAATGAGACACACTCTTGCAAAACATACAGAAAACATTTATTATACTGAAATGTATACACCCTACTGTTTAAAAAAACAAAGTAGCAAATCTGCTGGTGCCATAATTTAACCTGTTCACTGGGACAAATGTTGAATTTGTATTTTTACCCCACTTGTAAAACCTGATAAGGAATTCAAAATAGCACACAGCATTAAATGACATTTATTGTTCCAGAAATCTTGAGACCCAAAAAGGAATGCTAAATAGACAAGCAGAACTAAAACAAGTGCTCACGTCTTTCCCAAGTGATTGGTGTAGGAAACATGTGGTCGTACAAAGGGACAAGGACAGAAAGGAGAGCTCTCCTCCCCTTCGGGATCTACAGAGCTAGGTATTTTCAAACTGAAGACTGAAATACCTTCTCATCAAAAAAACATAAAATGGCAAAGCTTTTACCCACTGGAAGCAGTTTGTCTTTGGGGAAAAATTCCAAACTCCAATCCCACACCTGCCCGAACAAAGGATAAGGAGGAAATCGTACAGTCAAAAACCAAGACACCTGGGTAAGTGGACAGAGATGCTAGGGTTAAGTGGCATCGGAGCAGAAATTGCATCTGCTACACCACAGGCTTCAAAAATGCATGCTGATGCATTTGGAGGAGGGAGAACAAGAAAAGCAAAAGCAGATTCCCTTTGAAAAATAGATTGGCAAACAGCATTTGGTTTGGTGGAGGAGGCACTCTTTTAATGAAGCTATCATATCGTGGAGGAAAAAAAACCTAAATGATCACAGAACGTTAGCCCATGATTGTACTCAATATTTGAGAAACGTAAGGGACTTTTATGGTACCGTTTAGTGTCTGATACCTAGTGTTTCATGATGATGATGATCCCTTAACACCAGACTGTCACACTCCCCTCCCCCCCCCCTTTTAGGTCACCTCTTCCCAATGCCTGGGTAGGACTTTGAAAATGCTGTAGAAATAGGAGGGTAGGGTAGGAAGGGGGGGCGGGGGGAGAGAAAGCCACTAGTTTAAAAAGCAATGGGGCTTCCAAAATGAAAATCAGGAACAAAATGCTAAAATGGAAGCAGACAACGAAGTTTTCAATAGATCTGTGACAAAGCAAAAAAACCCAAAAGTCTTTGTACCTATTAGGATTTACACTGATCCTCTCAGCAAGGTACTCTTGATAATGCAGTTTGCTTCAAGCCTGCCTTCCTGGCTTGGATCCTCCCGCTCTGGCATGACACGCGGGACACACCCTTAGACATGATTTCTTCTGAGAAGGTGCAGAGCCTCTTACCTGACCAGCGAGCGCCAGAGCAGACCCAGCGTCTCCGCAGACGGCTCCGCAACAGCACTGTCCAGCCAGGTCCACGTGAGGTTCAGGCAGCAAAAGCCAAACTGGCACAGAAAGGTAAATGCCCAAGTACATTTTTACATTCATTTCCAAACCGCATACAGTGTAAAAGGCAGCCAAGGCTGCTTCTAGGAGCGGTATCTACTGGCCTCTGCCAGGGAAGCAGGCAGCCCTGCCTGCACCACGGCCCCACAGCTGCACGCTCGCTGTCCAACGTGCTCTCACTCACGAGAGGATGCTGGGCTGTGGCAGTGACAGTGAGGAGATTCGCCTCTCATACAGCTCATTAGAAAGGTCATCTTGTGTTTTCAATATGAAACATTTCATACAGTAAAAATCCAATCCCAAAGACTTCTTGGATTCAGTCTTCACACACTTTTAAGCGTGACTTTATTTGGTACTGAGTATAGTTCAAACTATGTAAGACATCACTTCAAAATTATGTGGATACCGTCACCATTTTCAACTGCAGGAAAAGGAAAGAGAAGTTACCACTGAGAAGCCACAAAAATCTAGATCCAACACCCCCTCGCCCCTAAATGAAAAGTTACCTTCTAGAGAAAACAAGCTAACTCTTACCACTTCCTTTTCCTTACACCTTCCCTTTGTAGACACAGTACCCTGGGCCCATACGACTTGCAGGGGGGTGTGTGTTGTGGGTGGGGAGGGGGTGAGGGGTGTGGCGGCGGCACACAGCAGAGGGGAAACATTGGATATTCTTCTAGCAGAGCTGACCTTAGCAATGCCCCCTGCTTTTCCCAAACACAGCCATAAAAATCACAGCATGATTTTCCTTTTCTTAGGCAATGTGAATTTTGCAAAGTAAAAGCTATACTGGATGGAGGAGAACTACTTTGAGAATATGTAAGATAAAGTGAGTCAGTTCCAAGTTAAAACTCAACCAACTTGATGCCGTATGCAACATGTCAGGCACATTATGAACTCATAAGTTAAGCAGTGTTCTGGACTACTCTCTTACACATCATCTTTGAAGGAAGGAACCTGGAGGGTTAAAATCTGCAGTCGGAATACATGACTTCCTCATGTACTAATTCTTTAATAAGACTTGATTCCTTTTCTGTCCGTGCTCTAAATACTGCTGTGATTTTCTAAGGCTTTGGGCCACACTGAGTAACTGCCCTTGTGACATTACCACATATTCTAACATTTGGCTGCTGTCCCCAGTTACCCACCTCCTTACTGGAACCACGTTCTGCCCAGTGGCTCTGAGCCACAGCAACTTCTCCCTCAAGTGTGAGACACGCAGATGACACCTCTTGCCCCTAGCTTTCCCACCATCTCTGTCTCCACGCAGGCAAAAGAAAAATCGAATCACATTTACTCCTCTAAAATAAAAGCTACCTACCATCACAAGTCACACTGCCCCACAAGCCCCTCGACACACACCACAGAGCAGCAAAAGAGTTCTTTTGGACCTCTAAGAAGTCAAGCACTTTCCTGCCCAGTCCGGCCACACCAGCTTAGGGCGGCCCCCGTGGTCGGCTCCTCATGCTTCATGGCACAGCATTAATGACGCGTCTCAGCAGCTTTGTCCAAGCTTCATGACCCTATCCTCTCTACCCCACGTGTTCCCACATTACAGTAATTAAAAATGGTATTTTCAACATCTCTCTCATGATCCCAGCATTTCAAGACATATGCAAAGTACCTTTTACAGTGGAGAATAAAAAACAACTCTCATCTTGAAAGTTCTGAACCATCTAGAAGGATAAAGCAAATGTACAGTTAAAAACCCAACCCAAACATCCTTGCTTTAACGGACTAGAAGAGATCATATGCATACACACAGATTGACACTGACAACACAGAATTCAGTAGTCAAGATTGTGATTATTCATGAAGGCAGTTTGAGGTATAAAAATTCTTAGCTGCACTGACAGACAATAGCCGTGCTTGATGTGATGGGTCTGAGACTGGCACAGGCACACAGGGCCCACTTGGGACCATTCCTGCCAGGTCCTCGAAAACTGAGTAACGAAGCCATGGCGGAAGTGCTCTTGAACCCAGTACAGCTTTAAAATAGTGATCCAAAGCCCAGCTCTGCCCAACAAGCTCCTAAGTGTCCAGATTTGAAAAGGAGTGGGAAACAGTTCTTTCCTTTGTATTCCTAAGGATCCTAAAATTCTTGGTTATACATTCTCACAGAACTTGCAAAGGGCCCACATTTCCCAGTTCATCATAGGAAAGGGAAAGCCAGTTCAAGTTATTACCTGATCGCTAACAAGAATGTGAATACCAGTAGGACCCTGTCTGTAAACTTGATTAATTTGGTGGAAAGGAATATTAAACACCACTGCGAGTTTTCGAGCGACTTCTGAGGCAACCATCTCTTCCAAGTAGATTGCATGATAAACTGAAATAAAAAAATAACATTTAGAAGAAATGAGCCTCACCTTTTACTACCCTAATCGCTTAACTCTCCCCATCGGAAATACATTCACTACTACTAATGGCTGACGTCTGACCAAAAAGACCCGTTGCCAGCAAATGTGCATGGGGGATATCTTTCTGGGATAAATGGGTTTGGTAAGGAGAGAAGCCACTATCATTAACTCGGCCATAGTCTAGTCCAGCGTTCTGTTCTGGAAAACCAGCAAGGACAAAACCCCTCCCAGAACAGGTGGACCATGATACACCACCCTCCACATTTACCTTCAAGATGTTATTTCTATGTGGTGTCCCCCCGCCTTGCTCTCTACACCCCTACTCATTGCTGTGTATGTTTAAAACCAGTAGAAGAGTGAGTGAAATATGAGGTACAGGTGGTCCTAAAGAGCCTGTCTTTAGGCCTGTCTCAGGCAATCTTACTTATGCACGCATCAGTTTCTCTGTAGCTCCTTAACAGGTATTACCGAACCTAGTGAGGTAGGAGCCTCCCCGGTGGCCTAGAGGGTTAAGCCTCAGCACTGTCATGGTTACGGCCTGAGTTCGAGACCCCGGCCGGGGAGCTCTGACCCCTCCACGTACAGGGCAGCAGGCCTTATCGCCTTGTCTGCTGCTCTTCCCCCCTTGGTGTATTTAAGGGGGGGAGGGGGGAGCCCCTCCCCGTCACCCCCCCATTCCACCCCAGTCATGCTCGCTCATGCTCGCTCGCTTGCGTTTCCTCGCTGTGCATTGTCCCCCCCCTTGTCCCCCCTCCCATTCTGTGAAAGTTTTGAAATTGTAAGGAAATGCCAGCCAGCCAAGTATCCAATTGAGGGACAGGTTCAATTGAGGGACAGGTTCACAATGCTGCTGTACTGAGTAAGTCATGTCCTGGTCCTCTAGCCGCTGCCAGGATTGTTCGGTTCAATATTGGTTCGGGAAGCGGAGGTGCCCTTGATACCCACCGAAGGGAGTCCCACTGCCATTCTCACTGCCGCTGCCCGGGGCCTGCCGCTGCCCTTGTAGCAGTGCGTTGCCTGGCTGCTCCTGGCAGACATAGATGGTCAAGCGGGGCCTAACCGACCTGCAATCAGAAGAGGCCACCCATGAGCCTAGGAGAGAAAGCCGCCCCACGGTACCGACAAACAACTACAGGAATGTAAGTAGAATGTAATTTTTCCTTACGAGAACTTTTCATACAAAATCAAATCATTTGCTCTTAAAGATGTACAAACACACCTCACGCCAACTATCACAGGTGGTCTAATCTGGTGATCCAGATTCCAAACCATTGCGATGCTGGTAAATTTCAGTTTCAAGGTTGTCAGCAAGAAGTTTGTTTCCTTGGCAACAGAACCCAGCAGTCTTCAAGAAATCAGTACTGCCCAGGTGCACTGCTACCTGTCTTAGCCTACCTCTGCCCTCATCAGCACCTGCACCGTATCTGGGCCTGCCCTGAAGTGTACACAAAAGTCTTCTCGTGAGCACGAGGCTGCCGACATGTCACAGCACACAGGTACACGCCAACCTGGCGGGGACATGCATCCTGCCCAACCCCACACGGAGAAAGGGACATTCTCATTTTAAGCACACAGTTCTCTTAAACACCATATTTTACCTTGACTTCAGTGAATTATAGAGCCGAATTCCATCGGCTGCACCACAAATTTGTACTAAATCCTCCTTTGTCAGTTTTAGTAAGTCGGCACCTGCAGAACCGCAAAAGAGTCTTATCAAAACAAAATGAACTAGCAGGGTTGGCTGTGTTCACATGGGCTTCCTGAGCACATACACACACGAACAATGCAAGAGTACGCACACAGGTGCCCCCAGAGCCAAAGAAAATGCTGGCTCTTTTGTGTCCTGTATCAAGAAGGGGCTAGAAGCTCGGGGTGGACCTCTCTAATCCGCTAGTGGGGCCTTCTGGTCACCTGTACAGGCTTTCACTGTCTCCTTGACTTTGGCTGGTGCCTGTTGAGCAGCCATGGTTCAGACTGTCGATGATTAACCTTGGGAATACCCAGGCCAACCTTTTGTTTTATAAAAGGAGGAAAGGGAAGTCCAGAGTTTTGGGGACCTGTCCTAAGTTACAGGAGTTGGTGGCAGAGCTAAAACTCTAGACCGCCTTCATACTGCAACATGTCGAATAAAGTCCAACATTCTGTGCCCTAACAACTGTCACAGCAGCCAGTTCAAATATGGAAGCGTGACAGACTGTACACTATATCCTACAGAGCGAGACTACCTCAAGGCTGGCCATTCTGAAGACGGGAGCGATGACAGGGAGTCCATCTGTATCTTTTACATTTGAATGTGTCCATAATCTGTCTTCCTTTTTTTTTTTTTTTTAACACCGAAAATGTAGTTTATAGGGAGAAGTTAAGAGGCTTTCTAGGATTAAGGCATGACTTCCATGTGATAAATTAATTATATGCCAAAATAGTGGAATTCTAACTACTTTGGGGGGCTTATATGTTAGAGAACCTTTGCATTCTAGTTTGTAATAGGAATAAAGCACATATCTCCTGAGGCATGAGCACTGACAGGAATCATTACATGGAGTCAGAGAAGCAAAGACAGGCTCTCATCTCCCTACCATGCACCTGAAAACAACTCAGCTGTGACAAGAGATGTGTATGTGTATGCACAGGCTACACCTTCAGAGCCACACAAGTTCATGTGGCCAGCCCTTCCAGAAATACGAATGCCCAAAGGCTCAGGGCAGGAAGCCCCAGCCTCCTCACCGTCTTACTGCTGGGAACTCGCAGGTTAAGGACAAAGCAGGAGGCTCGTCAGGGTAGCTCAGAGCGCACCAGATGGAAACAGTGAATGTTAACAGGCACAACCGGGGACCTCCCGCAGTGCTGACCAAGAGCCTGTGCTAAGTGCTTATCTCTGTGCTCTGCTTTTCATCTGTCTCCTCTCTGTGGGTTCAAGATGTGATCCTCTCTCCCCACTGAAATCTTAAGTTTGTTTTGCACAGATAAAAGGTTTTAGTTAATCATAAAAATGTAAATACTGGCTAGAAAATAACTTTCATCCAGTCTGTTTTAAAGAGACAACAATCTACATGGGGACTGAGTAAAGCCTGTCAATACTGCGGTGTGTGACTGACGTGAGAGGAAACCATGTATGTTGTGAAATCAAGCCTTCCTCTAGGTCAGGTGTGTGCACACAGACTCACTCTGGGGTGATCCTTAAGGCCCCACAGCTCTGAGGCAAAGGAAGGCTGGCTGTCATTTTCCTGTGGCCCAGCATTTCTCAAGTATTTGACCAGGATGTGGTCAAAATATATATAGGAAAAGGGTGTGAAAGTCAAGTATTTTTGGAAATGCATCCCCTTCCCCACTGATGTATCTAGGGCTGTCCTAAACAGGCTTTCTTCAAAACCTCTTAGAGAAGCACTAGTCCCATTTAAAATTTCACTTAAATACTCCTTTAAGCAAAAAAAAATTATGTTTAAAGCCATAAATACCACACAGGAGTATATTCGTAGCATGACATACTGCGCAATAAAGAACCAAGTACTGACACATGCAAGCTGAAGGGACCTGAAGGAACTGAGTGATCAAGTCAATTTCAGAAGGTTACATTCAGTGGGATTTCATGTGTAAAACATTCTCGAAATGATGAAATCACGGAGATGGTCAGGAGAGTGGGCAGGGGGACGGGCAGCACAAGAGGCCCTGCATGAGAACGGTGCAGCTCTGCGCCCCACCTTTGCTGGCGGCCAGAGGGCTCTCACCACGGGGGGATATGATGAGACAGAACTGCATACACAAATGCCATTCTGTCAGTTATGACAGAAATGGTGCCAAGGGGGCAGTAGAACATCGCCGTACCATCTTTGCACTCTATTGTGAAGAAAAAACTACTTAACGATAAAAAATGAAAAAACTGCATAAACTCATAAGCTAATGAAGTAGCAGATTGTAGTCCATTTTCTGGTTTTGATAAAGTACAACAGGCACGAAAGCCAGCACCACTGGGGGAAGTGCTAATAGGCACGCCTTCTGGTAACTTCCAATGAATCTACAATTATTTCCAAATTTGAAATTAAGATTAATAAAGGCACAGAAAAAGACAAACAGAACATGAATGCACACACAAACATACCTGAAAAATTGGAGAACAGTCTTGTGTAGGAAGAAAATCTGTTTTTGAGCAGCCATTGTTGTGTTTCCTGGATCGTGGCTGAAGGCTGAAGTTGCTGTTTATGGGAAAAAAAGAAAATGAACATACTCAGAAGAAACTACTGAAATTTACAAAAAGTAACTGAAGTTAGTGGCATGTGATAAAGAAGTCCTCCAAGTACAAAGATACAAAGTAAAAAATATCCAAAACACAGGTCTGACTAACCCAAAATGACAAGCCCCTGTCAGAGTCTTCAAAAAAAAAAGGACTCCGAAAAGTATCTGATTGTTTTAGGAAAAAGACACTTACTTCACTAGAGGACAATGAAACTCCATCTCCCTGATGATTTGGGGAAGAAGAATTGCTGGGGAGAAGGAAGAAATGGATGATTATTATATTTACATTTCAGATCAAGACATTAAAGGCTAGGAAACGCGGTGAATTTAAAGTACGTTGGGTCAGAGCAAAGGAAATTTACACTAAGAATGTCAGCACAACAGGGAGTGGGGGTGACAATGAGATTAAAGCACAGAAGATTTGGTGCTGGTTTGTGTATCCTCCTCCATCTGTTGTAGTACAAAATTCATGTTTTATGAAACAAAAGGGCTTCAGGGGTGCCAGGACAATGAAAGATAGTCACTCAGTTTTATCAGTAAAAATAAGAGAAGGGAAGCAGATAAAAAGTAACTGCAGATAAAATCTACTTGAAGAAAATTAGCTGTAAGAGATGATCTAAGGATCTGAAATCCAAATTATCTCTTCAGTACAAAACCCATGTTTTAAGAGGGCAAAATCCAAGGGAGAAAAAGAGGGCAAATCAAACTTGTATTTCTAAGGTAAAATGAGGTGGTCAAATCCCTCCTACTTCTGAGTTCCAACTTCTGTCTTAGTGTCTCTACCCACAGTTACTTAGGTTTGTTACTGAATGCTTACCCTCCTTCTGCACCCAGGAAAATATAAGGTCCTTCGATAGGGCTCTTTCTGTCACTTATAAACCACAGCACCTGCAATGGTGCTGGAAACACAGTGGGCTTTTAGAACTATGAGGTTAAATAGTAGATACGTGAACTCATGGTTCACCTTTAAAATCAACATTTTCTAAGTTTATTAGGATGGAACTGTGGAACTGGAAGAGTCCCTGCCCGGATGTGGTCACACACTGTTCCGTCTCCTCTGAGCCTGTTCTTAAAATACAACAATTTACACAAAAACAAGCTGCTATCAAATCTATCCTTCTCAGGGAAAAGCATGTTTTTCTCTGTCTTCTCATCAGTACCTACTATGAACTGAATGTTTGTATTCCCTCAAAATTCCTATGTGGACGCCTTACCCTCAGCCCCCATGTGTGATAGAAAACTAGATAGAAGGCAGGACATTTGGGAATTAGCATGAGATGAGGGTGCAAGGGTAGAGCCCCCGAGAATGAGGTCAGCGCTCTTGCAAGAGTCCTGAGAGACCCTGCTCTCTGCCTCTGCCGTGTGTAGCTACTCGTAAGTCAGATCTGTGACCAGGAAAGATTTCTCACTGGAACCTGACACTCCTGACACCCTGATCTAGCCTCCAGAACTCTGAGGAATAAAGGTACTAGGAGCAAAATGGCTGGTAGGTAAAATGACCATTTCCCACCAAATGAAGGTATTGGCTATTTCTCAACACTACGTACTTTATATATGTGTATATAGCCACAGAGACAGCGAGAGGCTTGCTGTAAATGGAAAGGGAAATAGAGGCGCGTGAGCATCAGTGAGCTGCAGGCACACAATTATACAAACCAAATACCTGTCCGGGACACTGCAAGTGCTCTGCTGAGAGGAGGTGAAAGTGGGTGCTGTGGAAGGGCTGTTATTCACATAGGTTGTAGGGGCATCAGGCCATGGAGAACACTAAGGACAGAAACAAAAATAAATTAATGACATACCTTTAAAGCATGTGGAAGAATCACCTGTTTACAGTTTAGTCTGGTCAAATGCAAGATTATAAAACACAAAACACCTGACACTCATCAAGCACCCTCAAGCAATAAAAAATTATACCTGGAGGAGTCTAGACCCTAATTACTCTTAGAGAAGATGTGAAGTAATGATAGCAGCAAAAAAAATTTACAAAGGCAATTTAAGTGTGTACTTATGTACATTTCACTTTCGAGAACTTTCATCCCTATCTTTATTAGTTCCAACAGGCACCTCCAGGTTCAAGAGCAGAAGAGGTAAGAAAGGGTTTGTAATCAACACCTAACGTCACATGGTGACCAGTACAGTAACCCTGTCCTACAGTGCCCTCCCTTTCTGTCCTCCTTCCCGAGAATGCTTCAGTAGCACCCATCTGCTTCCTTCTGACCTTCCTGCCATTTGACCTTCTCTGGGGATATGCCCCAGGTGCATGCCACTGGCTATGTAGGGCACAGCCTATCTCTCCTTACGTGCACGCTTTTCTATTTCCTAGAAAGGTCATGGTGAACCTAAATATTTTCAGTTCCAGACACAATTCTGACCAAAGATGGTGCCAAGAATCAAAGACAAACTGACTGTGTGACTTGCTAGTCTTGCACTGAGCAGACCAGGGTGGTCTTCACAAGGAGGCCTTCACACCTGAGCTGTAGTGCTTCCATGCCATAAGGTGGTTGTTTTTCTACAAATGACCTGCCCGAGCATGCCTCTGCTTTCAAGGGTCCCCACTAAGTATCAGTCATCTCCCATTTCACACAAACAAGGCAATAAGGCATCACATTTCCTTATGGCTATGGGTATAAGACTCAAGCACTGGATTCTAATGCAAATAAGTAAAAAGCTTGACGTTTTTATTAAGAAGTTTTCTTTCAAGTCTTTACTTTCAAAACCTTACAGAAAGCTCAGGAGGACCTATTGTCAACTGAAACAACCTACTAGATCACACAAAAATAGGTCACTGGGATTTTGGAGAGATCACTCAAAAGGTGTTCTAAGACATGAGTAACACTGCTCAAAGACAAAAATCTAGTTTCTCATCAAAAAAGTTATAAATTGTGGTCTACCTTTCCTCCTCAAGATGCATCTCTAGTAACCTTTCCACATTTATAATTAACAATGTGTCAGAATTTGTATTATTTGTCACTTGGATAAATATATTGTAATAAGTTTACAGCTTCTCAAATGTATAAAGTGCCTACAAGTCACAGTAAATTTTACGAATTAGGTTTTAATTTATAAAAGTTTGTTGTAAAGAGTTAAGAGTGACAAAAGATTTTCAGGCATAAAAAGCATGCCATGTTAGGATACCATTGTTTAAAAGAAGATTATATATTAGATCAGGGAAGAGCAGCAGTGTGAAATTTCAGACTTAACTAAAGAGCCTGATCATCATCTTAAAAAATATTTAGATTCCTTAAGATACACTTCAAAGAAATATGCATGTTTTTATTTTTAATTGTAAATACAAATATTCACTATGACAGGAAACTCCCTCCTTTGCAATTATTTAAATTTATGATGCAAACTTTCAAATGTTATCTAAAAATGTGCAACTGATTTTGTCCAAAATTATTCTAAGTGTAGGAATATCAAAACCACAGTGGTATGGAGAAATTAGGAGATTGCAAACACACTTGAGGGCAGAAAGCACGTCTCTCTAATGATCACAGAGCCTAAAACACTTCTGACACCCATCAGAAACATGCATCCAAGGAGATAAGAGAAATTCCAAAATTTTAATGGAAAAGCTTTATGTATCTCCTCAAAATTAGGGGGAAATGACACACTTTACCGTTTCAACTATTAGTAAATTTTAAGAAAGAAATCTAGCTGGACAGCACTGCTACCTTACTACTTGACACAACAATTTCTCCAAAATACTATTTTACATATTGCCTAATATATATTTATATTTTTAAAGATTTATTTATTTGTACATACAGAACTGGGGTACAGGCCAGAGGCTCAGGGGCGGCAAGAGGCCTCACCAGAGAGGGGGGGCAGAACAGGCAGATCGATGAAGTACACTGCCGAGGGGAGCAGCGGGCGGGTCAGGAGAGGTCTGCCACGCCATGTGGTCACCTCCGGGGCAGACAGGGATAGAACTCATGTGGCAGTGGCTTTAGCTTCTCAGTGCTGTGCTTTAACCCGCTGCGCCACCAGGGAGGGCCATTGCCTATTATTTTTAAACTGCTGCCTCTGTCTTTCCGCCATAAGGAAAGAAACACAAACCCTAGTTTCTGTCTGAGCAACCCAGGACTGTATACGCCAAGTGGCATACTGAATATTTGGTGTCATGGGCTCATGGTTATTTCTACCAAATGGAAGATGTTCCTCCTGTGCCCCAGATAACAGAAATGACAACAGAGCCGAACAAAAACATTTAAATAAGGTAAACCTTTTAACACCAAGCCTCCTTAAATATGGTTTGGTAAAATTTGCCAGCTGTTTAGTTGAAGAAATGGACTCATCATAAACTTCTAATACCATACAGTAATATGGAGAAGACATCAAATTTGCTCAAACTGTACACATACTGGTATATCACATCTAGACTGTCAGTAGAAAAATAGGATGGTCAATAGTTGACACCTAAATGTTACTCACTAAATGAGACTAAAATCAGTGAGCACTGAAAAACTAGTTGTTAGCCCCACATTTGGAAAATGGCCTCCCAGTCCTCAAGTGGACAGACTGAATGAAACATCAAGACCTCCCTACTTTTGTACTGTAAGATCTCTCTTGCAGGCAACCCTGGACGACAAAGATGTACTTAGGAACATTTTCGCAGTAGTTCTACATTGTCATCCTTCCATCTTTAAAATTTAGCAACAGGGTCATGTCTATCTTCCTCAAGACAATCTATAAATCATACACTTTCCAGTAATACCGGGCCTGGACTCATTTTCATGGCTTTGGTATATTTACTGTGAACAGAGTCCCCCTCCAGGAAGATCAGAAAGCAATGACCCATCTTAGACTGCAGGAATTGGTAGCTCTGGTATAAGTCAATGAAACATAGCAAAGAGTTTTGCTATACAGCAGTTGATTTCCTACAGAATCAACAGCAGTGACTCTACTCAAGGTAGGGGCTTTCACAGCACCTTTTGAATTTTAACAGATAAACCTAGATATCCCTTTCTACTGAGAGCCAATTTAACTGTCAGCTCTAAGAAGCATTGGTCCTCCTTTGAAAGCACTTTAAGATGTATGAAATGCTGTAGATTTTCTTCTTTAAGGGATTAACCTGTACCTTGCTTTTTAAAAAATAGCTTTCCAAGGTGCTCTAACCACCCCTAGAAAGATATTAATCAAACCAAATGTAGCCAAGGGCAACAAGCAACATGCACTAAGAAGATGTGAAATCCCAGGCCAGTGAACTGCTGGCGTTTTGCATACTTTAGACTTCACGTAAAATCATCAGTAATATTGCAATAATTCTACTGTCTTCAGATTAATTCTGGACTATCACAAATTTTTTTCCATTTATGAACTATGAGAAACCATCTGTTTTAAGTAAATGGTTTGTACTGAGAGGGGAAATGTGACTGAGTTACCAGGGAGTCCCCCAAAAAGCTTACTAAGAACCATTTATGAGACTTCAGCTGAGAAGCCAGAAGAGTGTAAAACCTACATCTGGAGGGGTGGGCATTTGGGGGAGGGATTATCCGGTTGTTCCAAACCTTTGAGTTGAATTTTAAGAGCCCAGTTAAAGCAGATGTACATGGGTTCCCCAGCGTACTCAGGAGAGTACGTTTTCAGCTTTGTGGCATGAAGAAGCATTTAAAACAATTCCACTCAGTGCTTTAAGTTGAAAATCAGGTTCTTGTGATAGTGCTTGTGACTGCCAGTCTACAGATGACAGAATATTCCATCTGTGGCACCTGGACAGTACAGACACTGGAATGACGAATAGAGTCACCATTAATGCATAAACTGACTTAAAAAAAAATTCTTTAAAGTTCTATGTTTTCATTTTCTGTGGATTTTCTAGGGAATCAAAACCAGAAAAGTCCTTTGTGGGTTGTTAGAGGAAGTTGTGTCACAAAAATAAAGATTTGTGATACTTCAACAAAGTCCACATTGCACTAGAGGCCCCTGGCTGCATATGGGAAGCAGGTGAGTGAGTGGGTACCAACGTGCACTTGCTGGCCTACAAGCGGAAAGTCCTAAAGCAGCTGCTGAGCAGAAACACTAATGCAGTCAAAGGTTATTTTCTTACCTGTGCAGCCCATCAGGCTTTTATAAGCACAGACAGACACACATCCTTAGACTACATGCAGGAAATGTGACAGCTAGTAAGCTTGCTGCCATTTCTCTAAATAGGTATGAAATTTTATCAGTTATACATAAGAAAGCAAACCTTTTTAATTACATAAAAATGACAACTACTAAAAATATTTTCAGTGTTCTTAAAGAAAGTATGTGTGTGAAGGAGAGAGAGGGGGAGGAAGAGAGAAAGAGATGGGGACAGGGAGGGAACACAATTTGTGAGTGTTGTTTTCCTTTTCCCTCCAAAACCACCCAAAATGGTCAACATTGTTTTTGCTTTGTTTTGAAGTGTTAGATTTAGGAAATTTTCCTCAGCGAGGAACAAACAGAAAGTAGGAAGTCTAAGCAAAAGCAAATTAAATCAAGACAAGGACATCAAAAACAAATTTGGCTTTACTTTTCGGTGGAAGTTGATCCTATATCTAACACTGCACAAGGTTTCTTGCACAATGAAAAGAGAAGCAGAAGTCCCTTACACTGCCTCGCTTTGCCAGAGAATCACCGTAGTCTGCTGGCAAAGTCCGCTTGCTGGACTTTTTCTGCTCATGTTCAACTGCATCTTCAATTATAGGCTCAAGCCTCATCTGGACAAACACCAAAGATTGGGATCAATGTCTTTTCATTATACAAAGAAAGATCTAATACCCTGTTTATGTTTCTGCAGTCCAATTAAACAAATGTATGACTAGCATGATTCAAAGTTAAAGAAAATGCAAAACCCCAGCAGTGACAAAAAAAAACAAAACAAAACAAAACAAAACAAAAAACAAAAAAACAAACCAGACAGCTAGGCCCCAACTTAATTTCTTGCCAACCTTCAAAGGTTTTTAAGGTCTTTCTAAGACCTCATTGGGATTTCAGCATCTTCAGAATCCCACCCAGGAAACTAGTCCATTAAAATCCCAAATTTTAAATAAAATACTTTCCCCCCAAATTTCACAAAGAATATTGTCACTTTGTCCCAACCCCACTCACTGTAGCAAAAAACTACTCCTTAGTGAGAATGCTACTACTCAAACCTCTGCTCCTCTCTAGAAGCCAAAACAGAGCTCTGCATTACCTCCGTAAGGATTGTGGTGTCATAGGACGGCTGATACTTTTCTTTTTCATGAGCAGTTCTCTTCTCCATTTTTTCTCGGTCAGTTTTTTGTTTCCTGTCTGCACCCTTAGGCTTAAAAACAAGAGGATTTCATCTGTCAGACTATAGGCAAGTAGCTTTACAAGCAAGACTAGACCTTAATTACTGAAAGCCTGGTTTCCACCTCTTACCTTAAAAACTTTGATTTGGCAGCTAGCTGAGTGTAGATGATCTGTATACTCTCCATTTTCATTCTGCTTAAAGGTATCAACCTGTACCCTAAAAGGCACTCCCTTCTCACCTCCATGCTTCCGTGGGGTAAATTCTGTGCTGATGCAGTGCACCTAGAAAACAATTCAAGCTGAAATGGAATCACAGATCCACCCCACGATTACCCTTTTGCTTTGTTCCCACTTGGATATCCTGCCACCTCTATAAACCCAAGACCCTTTAAAATGAACCTCCACTTATTAACCAGATAAGAGTCATGAATTGGATTGTTTTCAATATATGTCTTCCCCCCCCAAAAAATCAAACTAAATCTTTCTGAACTTTCTGGACTGAGCGCTTTTCCTTTCAAATGCCTCTCCTTTAATACCGCATTTGCTTTGATCCTAGGTTTACCTGGACAATAGGTTCCTATGTCTGTCACCTTCTGCACCAGTACTGGATATTGCTCCCAAACTCGGGCTCTTCAGCCCTGCTGTGGCTCACGCACAGCAGTTCTCAGCTCATCATTCCGAGCTTCTGTTGCTTGTCCTCTTCTGTCATGCCCTACACCTCACTGCTGCCCCTGTATACATGAACACGTAAGCTTGTCTGGGGGCCTGCCACAGTCCAGAAAGTCTACTGCATGTTCCTGAGGATCCTGAGGGCCACACTCATGGTCCACCACTTCTGCTTCTTCTACTACCATGATGACAGGGAACGACAGGTTACTAGGAGTTTCTCACTGCTACACATCTCCGCTTTTAATGACTCAAAGTTAAAAATGATTATGACTCTGTATATCCTGAAATTTTAGGTCAAGCTTATTCATCTGCATTTACTATATTAACTAGTTAGTTACCCTGTTAGACAAAGAGTATGAAAAGATATTCCGCTAATATGAAACATGCCCCTGGTATTATTAATTGATGGGGGATATTTGGTAGACCACAAAAAATGCAAAATAGAAAATATTCTTTATCGTTCAAATAAGCCACAGCCTACCTGGGCTGGCCTACAATTAAGTGGTTTTCCTTTTTCACATGAAGATTATATGCTTATTTGTTCTCCCACAAATTATGAACTTGAATACAGTGGCTTTAGATTTACAATGATTTCATTTTACACTTAACAGTATTTTCAAAGATTCATCTCCTAGAACTACAAACTGCATACTTACAATGTAAAGTGAAATGCCTTTGAGTTATTTTAAAGGATTCTATCAATAATTAAAAAGGGGGAGATTACTACTAACAATTGAAACCATGGATACACAGAGGATTCATTATCTTGTGTGTGTAAGGGGTGGGGAGAGTTGAAAAATTTCAGATCAGAATTTTTTTTTGGATAATGCTAGAATCTTAAAACTATACTTTTCCCAATCAAATCCTTTAAAGTGGAAGTTTTGAGAAATTAATCTTACCCCAAAAATGGAAGTTTTGACTATTGCTACAACCCATAGTAAAGTTAATATTTGCAAAATGCTTTCCATATTGATTGTCTTTATATGTTAATAAGGGACAGTTTTAGTAGATTAATTCCAACTTAACAACAAATGTAAAATAAAATGGCATTACAAGATAACCTATACATAAGCATTTAGAAATGTATCAAGAAGTGTCAAGAATTCACTCTCATCCATGACCTTCTAAATGACTAGGTTAGCATGCTTCTAATAATGTAAACATCCAAACCTGAATGAAAGCAGATGTGCGTTTTGCAGGGTCCCAAAGAAATTCAACCGCATTTAACTGGCTTGGATTTGTCCTCGTGTCAATTATCCCCACAGACATTGGAATATCTATATTGCAAAAAAGAAGTTAAATAGAAACTCACCCACTATGAACAATTAGAATGCCTATAACTCACTATAATTATATCCTCATGAAATTAGAATTCTATTTCCATGCTCAATTTTTTTACCTTCATAGTTGACCACTTCAATGTCAAAACCCAACCAATGAGTATCACAGTTTCTTCTATTATGGTTTTCTATTTCATTTAATTACAAATGATGGGTGATGCCAATTAAGAACATAATAAAATGACTTCAAGCTCACTAAAGTTCTGTCTGTTTCCTTTAGAACCCAAAAACTCCTTTCTAACAATAAAACAACTCAGACACATGGCATCTGCTAACACCAAAACCCTCCACACAATTACACACAGTGCCCTTGTTAGAAGTAGAGCTAAAACGCTTTCATCTCTTTTCTGGTTTTGACAGCCTCGTGTACCTAAATCAAGAAGTCTATCTCCTGGACGATTCCACTTCCAACCTTCAAGTTGCTGATGCTCTGTATACTGCAGCCGTCTGTCATGAAATACAACTCTTATGATGCTCTACAAAATAAGTAAGGGAAACAAGTTATTTTAAAATTATTTCAGCTAAAATGCAGAAGCATTTGCAGCTTTTTTTATGCAATAAGCTATAACAGAAGAGCATACAAAAGCAAATTATATTTTAAATGCTTTTTAAGTAAAATGTTTTGCTCTTGGAAACCTGGATTATGGGTACCAATAATTATAACAAAAAATAAAATAAGATGGTTATATAGGTATAATTTTTATTTAAAAATCTGACATTGTAAATAAAAATGTACATGCTCATAAAATTAGTAAGCAAGAATTACATTTTTTGCAAAGAAAACACTGGATACACACAAGTATTACTATGACGAAAAGGTGGCATAAAGAGGAGACAGAAACCCAGGAACAGCGGTAAGACAGTGAATTTAAATCATTGGCTAATAAATTTTAGATAGACTGAACTACTCATTCTTAGATCTCCACTCACCTGTCCCCAACCTTGCAGACATTTGGGGTGCCAACCATTCCATTACAGTAAATACAGGCTCACTGAAATCATTTCAGATTCCAGATTTGCGTGAACATGTATTCCTGGCACATTCATATATTTATGGTTTCTCAGACCATGACATAGTAAGATAACTGTATTTCCAGAACACGCTGGTTTAAATAGGAAATAATCTGTACTCCTGCATCTCCTAACCATTAAATACTATGCAAGTGTAATGGATTTTGAAGGGAACCATTTGCAAGTGGCAATATTTTAACATTAGATAGATTAAAAATAAAAAAGAGGCAAATCAGCAGTTGGACCCTGAGGGAGGACTCATTAAGGCCATGTGGTCACTCTGATCCACCCTCTTCCCAGCTACACCCACATCAATTGGTGGCCCAGGCAGAACACCAACACCTACTTCATACCACCACTGCTGGCAGCAAAGCTTTCAGAAACAGGGCACAGGCTGGTGGTAGCACTGTGCACATTCATCAACAAGTGGATCTCAGAAGAAAAGTGAGCCAAGGAAAAATGCCATCATTTTGATTCTTCCCTATGTAGGAAAAAACTAAATTGACATACGCAGATGAAAATAGTATGAGAATGTGGATATCAGATTTAAGAGCTTTCTTAGTGCCCATCTGGAAGGTCAGTAAGCTACTGCAGCAAGGAACATGAAGGGAGGACACAGTTAAAAAAAACAGTAAGATAGAAAAACTTGCTTAAATGAACTTGGAAGGGAAAAAGTTCTCTGTATAGTCTGACTGAAAGGAGACTGAAGACAGCTAAGAACCAGCATCAGACATCAGGGACAAGCAATAACAAAAAAACCACTCCGAAACAAAAAAAGACAACTATAAACCAGAGACAGTGTGCAGGGGAGGGAGAAGCAAAGGGATTGAGATGGGGCAGGAGAAGCACAAGGGGCTGTGGTGATGGTGCACAGGTGAAATGGTAGTGGAAATTCTGGGGGACTACACCTGAGAAAAGAAAGCAAACACTGTTTAAAAAAAAATGGTGTGAAACACACAGTATTTTTAAATAATGGGAAAAAGGTAACAATTAAAAGTTTTATACCTTCAACAGGAAAACCAGTCACTGGTTACCATGCCAATGAGTCTATACAACAGTGACCATTTTAAAGAACTGTTTCTGTTGGATGCAATAAAATGCTACAAAGAAGTGGTAAGAAGTGAATCCATGGCATGAAAAAAATGTTATCTTGCCTAGATAGAAAATGGCTGTGGAGTGTCAACAACACATCCCTCTTGCACTTATAGCTAAATGGTTCACGATCTCAATGAAGAGTTGTTTTTAAAATTTTTTACATGTATTAATCTGGAACTAAATCCAGGGAAACTGAACTTATAGCAGTCATGCGTCAACTTAGTTGATGAATCCTGCCGTACCAGGAAGACCACCTAAATCTCACCACCTACTCAGGGTGGTGAGAAAGCCAGCTTGTCTTTACTGGTAAGTGGCAAACTGTGTCAGAATTCACTTTCTTCAAAGTCTTGACAGAAATTTAATTCTGTTATTTCTCTAGATGCCAAAGTTTGTTTTCCTCAGAACAAGGAGTAGCTATGAGTGACGTGCAAGTTAAAATTATTTTAAATGATTAAGGGTTAAAATTATGAATTAACAAGTATAAATTGCCCAGGGAAGTAAATTAAAAAAAAAAAAAGCACAAGGGAAAATAGTGGAAACAAGATTAGCAAATTGCTGAAGTATGTAGAACTTATTATGAGAATTCTTTATATAGACACCGTTTTGTACCACCATATCATCCTTTCTATTTCTACATATGCATAAGCAGCTTTAAAGTCTTCTCATTATTTTCAGATCTAGCTTTAATAACTCAATACAGTACCCATCAGCCCTATTTAATTTTTCAGAGGACTCTACAGTTAAAACAATTTTTCAATTGTCTGCTGATTCAATTGTACACTGAATTAAAAAAAAAATCAAAACAGCATGGTCATCAAATGTAACTTTCACAGTGACAGATGAGTTCATCCACATCTCTTATAAAGATATTACCAGGCTGAATTTTAAGTAGGTGTGGTACAATTAGTAGACTCTCCCAAAGGTGAGCCAAGGGCACCATGTGACTTGTCTAGCAATAATTAATCTGGGACCAGGACACACCAAGAGAATCTTCAACGTCTCTCAGCACCCTACGTGTTGGAAAAAGAGCTGTTAGTCTGGCTCCTTGACCAGAACATAGCTATTTGGCTTTAGAGCCCAGCAGACAACAATCTAAGTAGGGATTGCTCACTAAGAACAGAGATGGCTTCTTTTTTTTTTTTTTTTTAAAGATTTATTTATTTGTGCATACAGAACTGGGGTACAGGCCAGAGGCTCAGGGGCGGTGAGAGGCTTCACCAGAGACAAAGAGAGATGGCTTCTTTAAATGGTAGAGCCAACTGGTGCATGCTACCAGTCAGAATGTCAATGGGAAAGAATGGGGGGTGGAAAGTGCTTCTCAGTCCCCTCTAGGGATATGATGGACTTTAAGCACACCTGGCTAGGCAAGTAACCTCTTCCCTTTTTATCCCAACTATGTTTGGAGCCACAGAATTTAGAAAGGGAAATTTGGGAGCTCACTCTGGGTTGGCAAGACAAATGACCCAATGGGGACCATACACATTAACTTCCCTCAACTTCCATTAGTATTGGGGGCTTTTCATCCCCAAGGGTGGGAAAGACACTGAAAATCTCCCAAAGACTCTCAGGTCTCTGGTAAGATGCAGTTGGGTTCCCCAGTTAGGCCAAATCAGTTAACATTAGAATCAGTTCGAATATCCATTCAAATGCTCACACTTTTATAAAGCATATCACAAAGGAGAGGCTTTGTCCAATGAAAAGCTTCGTAAAAAAAGCCCAGCAGCACCAGGGCCTCCCCACACCTCTGTGGGAAGACAGAAGGCTCAAGAGAACTTAATGCCAGCTTTTCTCCTGCTTAACACTTATCCACATGAAATTTTGCATTTTCCCAACTAAGCTACTTCTATAGTCTTTGCCCTATAAAGCTATAAAATTTAAAATAAGCCATGGTGCATGACAGGCAGAGGCTACATGGGCCCCTCTACATGACAGTGAAGGTGTGCTCCAAAGATACCCTAAAAAGATGGTTTGGTCACCCACTGACTACAAGAATACCTGACTTCATTACTCAGATCTATCAGTAGGGTAAAAAGATTTCAAATTATAGAGAAACTTGAAGAAGTGAAACGAATTTTAAGGTTCATGTTAACATTTATACTTTCCCTCACATATTTTACTTTTAAAGAGAAACCTAACGTTTTTATCGTAGTGGTGGGTTTTCTCCCTACAACTCTTAACTAGTTTATGGTAATCACTGTAATATCAGTTAGGAATTAATACAGTTGACCTTACCTTCACCAGTTTTCCAGTGATCTCAGGCATATCTCCCATTTTCCGATTATCCAGCATACGAATTTCATAAGACTGACCTATTTAAAAATTGTGTATCAAAAATAATCCATATACAGACCGCTATTTTACATACAAATTCAGAACATACAATTACCTCATAATCATTTGCTAGACTGAGATAGATCTTTTCTTCCCTGTAAATCACACCAACCTTTCCTTCTTAAACTATCACTGAGCTTCTCTCAATTTATTTTTATTTGCTACTCTCACACTAAATGTTATTATGCATATAGGCATTTATCGAAGACTCAGGTTTTCTGATCAGTCAAACAGAAAAAACATACAAGAGGGGAAACACTTGCAAATCATGTTACACATAAATTGCTAATTTCCCGAATACAAAAACCTACTAACACTAATTTCCCTAATACAAAAACTCACTAATACTGAGTATACATAGAAGTACATGAACAAATGACAGTAACATCTAATTCCATCAAGTTCTTAATAAACATTCACCCTCTATCAGATAAATGCAAATTAAAATGACACAAATCTCTTTTTAGACTCTTCAGGTTAGCCTGAATCTCTCAGTTTGAATTGTCAAGGTTAAAGGGATACTGACAGTAGGAATGGAGATTGTAATAAGCACTTTGGAGGTATTTTAAAGGTAGAGCTCAAGCATTTTCTGCATGAGATATAAAGTGAGAGAAAAAGAATGGAGGGTTACATCTAATGTGTAGCCAAAGAACTTCCTGACATGGGCATAATCATGAGATATTGGGAAGGAAAATCAAGAGTTCAACTGAATACATTAAGTTTGTGATACCTAGTGGACACCAACATTCATAATCGAGTTGAATTACAAAATCTGTAGCTAAAAGAAAGAGGTATTATTTGCGAACTCTTTCAGGATATTGAAATAGCTTCACCTGTTGAAATGCAGGATCTAAAGGATAAGTGAAGAAAGAATGAAGAGGTGATACAGGTACTTCTCTGGGACAGAGAGTGACCAAAGACCCTCCTGAGCTGGAGGCAGCCACGCACGCACGCAGTGTCCTGGAAGGCAGAGGAAGTGTGAACACTCCTCTCACCAGGAGGATCTCATGACCCTCAGACTCAAAAATCCCAGGGCTGGGAGACCTGGGGGGTGTTGGTGGTGGTGTGTGTGTGTGGGTGTGTGTGAGAGAGAACCATAATTCTTTCAATAACACAATAATATGAGTCCTAATATATGAGTGAAGATTCTAAATGAAATAAAAACGTTTCATTAATGAAATATAAAGTTAACAGTTAAATAGCAGTATTTTGTCAGTTGTTAATCCTATTATTTTATCTTCAGAAATTGACCTTTCAATGCTTTGATTTTTGCTTAGATATGCAAAAACACTCAGAACTGAAACATATAACTTATGAATTCATGGTTCCAACTACCCTCTGCCTAAGTTCCAAGCATTTATTTCTAAGATCCTAATACAGAACCTGAATTTGTGAAAAGGACGAAGACCTCAAGAAATGAAATTATGAAAAATGAAATTAAAAAAAAAAAAGGTACTTTTCTTTTTGAAACTCATATCATTCAACAGTATTTTCTAGGGGCTAAAATCTGTTTGGTAAGGTAGCTAATACTGGTTAATTAAAAAAATTCTCCAAATAGAATGTGGCTTCCAAATGAACAGGTTATTTCTAATCCAACAGCAGTGAGAATATCTAGAGTAAGCAAGGGGTTAAGATCAGAAGTCTCACTTATCATCAAGAGTCTGTGTAAAAACAGCTGGAGCCACACACGCAAGGGCAGACAGTCTATTCCACACAGCTCCCTGCTCAAAGACTAGGCTGCTTTTACTCTACCCTCTCGATGTTGGAACAGCTTTTTTCTTAACTCTTCTTGTTACCCAAGAGAATAGGACAGTTGTTCAGGCATAACCAGGAAAATAAAAATAGAGTTTCTAAACTCTACTTCTATTATTCAAAACTGTATGAAGACAGATACTCTTAAGGCGTAAATACAACTTGGAAAACTTGTTTTAATTTCTACCTAAATTGAAATGCTACACTTGTTTTCTTCATGGTGTTATACACGACAAATCTTCTTTAACAGTTAGCTGAGCAATGAGATTTAAGGGGCAACTAGCAATGACTAAGCAATTGTCAAAGAATGGCGCACACCACCAGCTATGTGCTAACCCTCCTCTCTGAGGAAATCTATCATATTTAAGGCAAGCTCACATATTTGCCTGAATATATAGATCAATAAAAACTTATAGCATGATTTCCAAGCTAACAGATCAGGGCCACCTAGAATCCTGTCAGGAATAAAGGTGATTCAGCCTACTCCAGATTTACTTTGATCGTAAGTCATCACAATGCACCAAATAGCCATTCATCTTTTCACAGGATCAACAGTATAGACAGTTCTCACTCCATTATACAGCTTACATACACTTGAAAGTACATATATGCATGCACTGTTTTATACACATATATGCATAAGCAAGGGTTCAGGGTTCCCTAGATGATACTTCAGACCCAGCTGTACAAAGGCAAGCTAAAACTGACCCTTGAAAGCAGACCATAGATGTCAGACACTTGACGGTAAAGGTATGGGGGTGGGAAGGAGTGGAGGAGATGAGTAGAAAGGGGGGTTGAGAGCAGAGCATAGTGGAGGACTGTGAACACTTTGATAGTGGGATAACTATGTTGACTGCCCCTAAGGGGAAAAATCCTATAATGTGAAAAAATAAAAAAGGATCTTTTTGCTTATTTTTAAAAGACCCAGCTTTGACAGGACCACTGCTAAGCTAAGAGGCAGTACAGTAAAATACAACAAATTTGTTTAAAATCTTAAGACAAAATGAGAGCCACCCAATGGAAACTCCTCTCATACAAAGAGTGGTTCATCCTACACATTTTTGGAGGATCATCTACCTAGTACACACTTGCCTTGGTCCATGTGTTAGTTCCTATCTGCTGCTTTAGCATTATTTCTGCACTCCTTATGAAAGGACTAGGGGATAATCTATGTCCCTACCTTTTTCAACTTCCTGACGCAATCTACATTCTTGGCTTACTGTATCTTCCTCTACCTTCAAGATCAACTCCACAGAGCATCTTAAATCTCCGATTCCTATTTCCCTCTTTCACTTTTTTCCCCCCTCTTTCACTTTTATCATTTCATTGGCTTGTCCTGGATAGCCCAGTATACCCCTTATGTAAACATAAATTTTCTGCTCCTGGTCTGTAGGGCCAGGAACAAGTGAAAACCATCTTCACAGGCTCTTTCTGATAGGCAGGAATCTGCTGCCCAAAGGTGTAAATAAGATGTTCCAGGAAAAAAAAGGATTTAAAAATGGGTACCCAGTCTCATTTCACTAGATTAGCGTGGAAGAGGTCGGATCCCGCAGTGCACCTCCCTTTAGCATCTGTGTGTCTTTAGGGCAGAGCAATTTAGAACCAGAAGCCCCTATTATTAAGAGTAGCTACTACTTAATGTCAACGACCCACTGCTTTTACCTACATAAACTAAATTCAATTTGGGTTTACTGGAACAGCTCTCACGAACTCAAATCTGTTGGGGTATTTCCTAGTTACAACCTTCACTTTGATCATCTAATAAACTCTCTAACTATATTTTCAGTTAGCACTTCCAGCACCACACTCTTCATTTAATCACAATTTCTAGGCATCAAGACATAGTCATCTTTGGGGAACAATTTTTCTTCCTACAACAATTACTAAGCAGTGCAAACATGCGATTTCTGCAGCTCAAAACTGACTAGGACAGGCTTATTTGAAAGATTATAATCATACTTTCCAACACAGTTGGCAAAACTCCCAAGTCATTACACAAGAATGTAGTTCCAGGACTACATTCTAACCATTTGTAGAAATTACTCCTCTAGTTGTTTGGTCTACATAGTTGGTTTTCCAGTACAACCATGAATCATTAAAGCTACTTAGTTGTAAATAACAGTAAAAGCAGCAAAGGCTCGTGTGTTTATGTGCTGGTCAGCAAATAATATAATATGCATTAACTCATTTTTAATTCTTAGTTACTGTGAGTGGAGTGTATTAAATTAAAATTGGAACTTGCCTCAACAAGTAAAAATGGCAAAAAGAGATCAAAACACAGGCAGTGCATCTCAAGGGGGCTGCTAAGAATGCTCACTGCTACCCTATCTCCCAGACCGCACTCTGCAGCAGAGACGAATTTAAAACACTGGTCACTATGTTCAAACATTTTAAAGAAACAAAAAGGTGGATGAATAAAGTACATAGATATATCCCATACACAGCAGATGGGTATATACCTGGACAGTTCTATTTCATTGGCAACTATGTATGATCACTTTAAGATCTCTTTTACGCTCATAACAACTATACTTAAACATCTAAGTCACTCATGACAACACATTTATTCGAATAAATTCAATAAAATATTAACTCTAAAATACTTTAGTTATGTAACTGTCATAAAACATGGTTAGAATCTTTTCCTGGGTTTAAAATAGCTCTGAAGTGAGGACCCTCCCCAGTGGCCACAGCCACCTCGATCGCCGGCCCTGGAGGTAACCCACATGGTGCGGCAGACCTCTCCTGGCTCTCCTGCTGCTCCCCTCAGCAGTGTACTTCGTCTACCTGCCTGTTCTACTCCACACTCTGTCTCTGGTGAAGCTTTACACCGCCCCTGCACCTCTGGCTTGTACCCCAGTTCTGTATGAATAAATCTTAAAAAAAAAAAAAAGCTCTAAAATGAGCAGAACTAGGTAACTGGGCAACAGTTTTTATTCTATACCTTTCTCATACCTTTGATTTTTGTATCATATACATAAATCATAGTTTCAACTGAAATTATGTATGATGGCAATTAACTGGAAATACTTTATCCCCCCCCTCCCAAAAAAACCCATAAAAACAAACTTGGTGGTTAAGAAAATGAGATGCAGGGTCTCCCTGGGGGCACAATGGTTGAGTCATAGCACTATGAAGCTCTCTGCAGCCCTGCAAGGGTATGACCCACAGGGCACGGCAGACCTCTCCTGTTTCACCCGCTGCTCTCCTCCTCAACAGTGTTTCAGTAGATCCTACTTTTTTGCTCCCCACTCTGGTGAATCCTTTCACCCCTCATCTGGTCTGTTATCCCTGTTCTTGTATGCACAAATAAACATATCTTAAAAGAAAAAAAATAAAATGAGATCTGGAATCACGTAATCCTGAGTTTAAATAGTCTGTAATCGCATGGACAGTAACCAGAAATAGGTAACCTAAAAGAGAAATAACTCTTCTAAATGTTTGATGTAATAAAATGGGAATTATTGTACCTTCAATAATTATCACTATATTTCCAAGTAGTAAAGAGAAAGTGTTTAATTTCTGTCTCCTTTATTAGAATGGACATATGGAAGCTTGTATTACAAGGAAAGAAAATTTGTGCCAGTAAATGACAACTTCAAGTGTTCTATCTAATCTTTTCTTACCAAGTTCCCATATCCTTTTGTGATAAACAAGGCAATATTTCTATGAGGTTATTTTCCTTAGTTGAGCTACAAATTTCATGTGAATACAAGAAAACATTAAACCCGAACAATAATCTGACTCCTGGACTGTAGATTGGTGACTATTTTAACAGTTATACCATCAAAGTTGATGCACAGATTCTCTATTAAAATAGTGGCACTGGGCCCTCCCTGGTGGTGCAGCGGATTAAAGCACAGCACAAAGAAGCTTAAACCACTTCCGCATGAGTTCGAACCCTGCCTGCCCCAGAGGAGAGCCACATGGCGTGGCAGACCTCTCCTGACCCGCCCACTGCTCCCCTCAGCAGTGTACTTTGTCGATCTGCCTGTTCTGTACCCCACTCTGTCTCTGGTAAATCCTCTCAGCCTCCGCATCTCTGGCCTGTACCCAGTTCTGTACGAATAAATAAATAAATCTTTAAAAAAAAAAAAAAAGATAAAGCCACATTAAAAAAAAAAATAGTGGCACTGAAGTATATGTAATTTGCAAAGATTTTTCCATAGGAAAGAGTTAGAAAAAAAAAAAACTATAGTATTTTACTTGAATTCCTAGATAAAATCAATCAAGTATAAATACTATTTTGCATATAACTGGTTTTCTTTATACTATATATTGTTGGAAAGACTTAAAAAAAAATCAAAATTAAGTCCAAGCCTTTGTTTGCTTCATCATTTTAAAAGTTATAATGAAAGATGCTCAACAGGGGTTTGCCGACCAGCTTCCACAATATCTGGGGAAAAAATATTCTCCAACACAATTCAGCCAGCTCAATTTTCTCAAGTTTAATTCAATTCAGCTCAATTTTAACACTATCTACCTGGAATTAGTACCAAATTCCACAGGTTAAGGACTCTGTCTTCCAAGACCACCTTCCCTTCAGATGCTAGTAATAAGACCAGTTTGTTACTCTGCTTCTGACCAGAGCTTTCCAGGAACCCCTTGTCAAGTTTATTTAATTTGCCAGAACAGCTCAGAGAACTTGGGAACCCATTTACTCACTAGGTCAGTGATTTAGTAAATATTACAAAGGATACTGAAGGAAATGAATGAACAGCCAGAAAAGACGCACAGGGCAAGGCATGAGGGAAAGGGCAGAGAGCTTCCTTGCCTCTCTAGTCACACCACTCTCCCAACATCTCTAGAGAGAAAGATCTCTGACGCCCCTCCTTCTGGGTTTTTATGGAGCCTGCAATACTTAGGCACGACTGATAAAGGCACTGGCCTTTAGCAACTGAACTTAATCTTCAACCCTGCCCACCCCCCCAGAGGGTTGGGAGGCCCACCCTCTGATCACATGGTTTGTTCTCTAAGCAACCAGCTCCCATTCTGTAGATGTTCCCAAGAGTAACGTCATTCACATAACAAAAGACATATCTAATACATTCCTTTAAATAAGTGTGTACATCCTATGCTATGTATCTAACAAATGGCTACCCAAGTTCGGGGAATTAGATTATTTCCTTTTTTGTCATTAAAAATAAAGTTATTGTTACTACCCTTGCCCCTGCCTTGTGTCTTCTGATATTTTTATGTCTAAAACAGACTACCAAATAAACTCGTAAGGTTCTTTCAAACTTGAAACTTAAGTCACAACTAACTAAAGCCTAATACTAATTAAAAACAAAGATCCCAGGTGCTATATAATTACCTGAAATAAAACCTCATAAATTCTAAATATATATACATGAAATGAAAAGTCAGAGATAAGTTACTCTTCTGCATTTCAGAATTATTTTTAAGTATGTCAAAAAGTATACACGATTAAAGATTTAATGACAAAAATAACCACAGTATACAAGAGTAGGTATATAATTTAGTTGAAATAAGGTATGTATACACACTAGGAAATGTAACTACAATGCTATAATCTTGGTGGTATGTAACTGCAGTCAGTTTTCAGCTGTATCTTTTCATATAGTTTTCAATTTTTCTATAATGGCATAGGTACTTCTTTGTATTAAAAATGTTTGATTTACCAATTCATATGTAAATTGCTTGCCTAAAGTGTATAAGACAAACTTCTGCTGAAGGCAGAACAGGAAAACTTGCACCCCCCCAAAAAAAAGTTTGATTTATTTTTAGAAAAAGAATTCAACATGCCAATAAATTCATCTGCAAAACTAAGTATTTCTTTTACACTGGTATTTACTAAAAACAATTTATTTATGCACAGAGAACTGAGGCACAGGCCAGAGGTGCAGGAGGTGAGAGGATTCAACCAGAGACAGAGGGGAGCAGAACAGGCAGACTGACAAAGTACACAGCTGAGGAGAGCGGCGGGCGGGTCAGGAGAGGTCTGCTGACACCTCCTGGGTTAGGGAATGAACTCCCATGGAAGCAGCTGTGGCCAGCTTCGCAGTGCTGTGCTCTGACCTCTGTGCCACCAGGGAGGGCCCTACACTGGTATTTTATATTGGCCTGTGTGCAAAACGCTGATCATGATCACACTTCAACAGTTCCTTCTTCCTTCCAACTGTAAATTCACCCTCACACCTCTTATTTTCCAGCCGTGCTTTACTATTACCAAAATGTTAGCCTCCAAAGCATCAGGATATGAGCAGGTAAAATCTGACACACATGTTTTAGCCACAGACGCCATCTTGGTGTGCTTATGTCTATTTTCAGCATAAACCTGCTTCCTGCCCGAGGCCCAGGTTCTTTACTAGCTGGACTTCTGACTCACTCTCAAGTTTCACGTTGAAAACACTGTTCCTAAAAATAACTGACATCCTTTCCTACTTGCTCCTCCTTTGGATTTTTGTGATTTGCACTTGTTGGCTCACAGTACAAATTTTGCTAACCAAAGTTGTATCATGCAAAATAAAGAACCAAATTTTGAATTATTACCAGTAATCTAGGCTGCAATGCTCTTTTCGGTTTTCAGAAACTTCCATCCAAGTACAAAAGAGTCATACTCACCTTGGTTCAAGTAAGTGAGTGTTTCATCATGCAGTTTTACTGCTGGTGAGGTTGCAGCACACATCACATACTGAAAGGGTGGGTGTTTTGTTTCACCATCCAATGGAAGGCTGGAATCTTCCTGCTTGAAAATAGGCAATGCCAAGACATCACTACAAAGCAAAAAAATAACCAACATTTACCTCACTGTAGGTTTAAAAATATTATAGGTGTATACAACAAATATTTTAGGTTTGCATATTTAAGAAAACAAAAACATTTAGGGGTAGTTTGTTTTAAAATACAAGATCAGAAATGATATGTACAATAAAGGAACTATTCATACTTATCTGGCACACCTAAAAGACAATACTAATAAACCCATATCTCTGTCGGTGGGGAGAGTATGATGCTTATGATTAAGCAGATAGAATAAGAACAAAAACGGCAACCGAAAGAAAAACAAAAATTTACTAGTTAATAAAGTCCAGATTACTGATAAAGAGATTGCATTTATAATGATACCTAAATATTACTGTTGCTAACGACAAGGTCACTCAGGCACCAAATGGTACTTTACAAAAGCATCCCTGCTAGGTCTGGTCTGACCAGATTGGTGCGCATACAAGCCTGACTACAAGCTCAAAGCTTCCTCTAAAACAACGGCTCCCCCATCCACCTGTGCCTTTTCCAGGGCCTCTGCACCTAGACTACTCTCCTGCTGGACATCCTACTGGCTCTTTTAATTCAAAAATCACCATCTCTGTGATGACACTGCAGTCTTCCCACCCACAATCAATTTTTCTTTTCCTGTCCTGGTTATCCACAAAGCTTGTCATTTTCTGACTGCATATATGACTTAAAAATTTATATTCCGGCCCTCCCAGGTGGCACAGCGGGTTAAAGCACAGCACTGAAAAGCTAAAGCCACTTCCGCATGAGTTCGATTCCCGCCTGCCCCGGAGGAGACCACATGGCGAGCCAGACCTCTCCTGACCCGCTGGCTGCTCCCCTCAGCAGTGTACTTCGTAGATCTGCCTGTTCTGCTCCCCACTCTGTCTCTGGTGAAGCCTCTCACCGCCCCGAGCCTCTGGCCTATACCCCAGTTCTGTATGCACAAATAAATAAATAAATCTTTAAAAAAAATTTATATTCCCCATAAGTATATATCCACCACTTTTGTTTCTCTTCACTTTCTAAGCCCAGTTTCTAGCACCAAGGAGCTCAATATTTGCTGAATCAATGAACCAATTGCAACATTAATTATGAAAGCAGAAAACTAGATCTCCAGGTAATTTAATATCATAATTTCTACAAGGTTGAACTACAAGAAACTTTTAATCTTGGATATTTTTGTACTCCCAGACAGGTAGTTCTTCAGGAACCTGACAACAAATGCAAAGCCTTAGGCTTCAAATTATTCCAGTGATACTGAAATGCCAGTACCCAAAAATAACCAGGCATACCACGACAAACAAGACTCTAGGAGGAAGAACCAACAGCAAAAATAACAGATGGCATATCCCAGTTCCAGACTCTGTTGGTATTCAGCTCTTTTCTGCCTCTGATGCAGAGGATTAGAGGCCTGAAAACTACATATACAAGACTTCTGCCAGCTGGAGCCTGTCTTGGCTTGCTGCAAAGGGAAGCACCGGTGGGAAGTTCAACAGCAGGAGGAAAGGGCATTCAGGCAGCCTCAGTCTGCAGCTGCAGGACATTTCAGGGCAGCTAGCGCAGGACAGGGGCTACAGACCCTCCTTCCCCACTACCGCCTTTGCTATCAAGTCTTTGCAATCAAGTACTTCATTATATCCTTCTCAATGTGAAGTGCAAATCACATTTTGTTCATTGAAAAAGACTGGTATTCCAGACGTTAGAAGCTAGAACTGATTGAGCCATACTGTGAAGTTATGTGAACTCTGTTTAAGAAAATAAAGACTAGCCTGTAAAGATCTGCAAAGAACAGGAAAATTTAAGGACAAAAACAAAACAAAACAAAACTGAAAAGGAACCAAAAAAACTTCTAGAACTGGGAAATAAAAATTACTAACATTGAGAACTCACATTTAATAGCAACTGAGACAGAAGAGTAAATAAGGGACCTGGAATGTAAATAAAAAGATGTTATCCAGAAGGCAGCACATAGTAAATCATGGAAAATAGGAAAGTTAGGACAAAAAGAAGGTCTTACTCTCAAGTCCTAGGAGGGAAAAGGGACAGAAGCTTTTTAGAAAAAACTAAGGAAATTTCAAAGAATAAAATACACAAATTCACTAATTCAAGAATCCCAAATAATGAAAGCAGGGTAAATAAAAAGCTTATATCTAAATATATCATGAGGCCCTCCCTGGTGGTGCAACAGATAAGAACACAGCACTGCAAGCCAGCCGCGACTGCTTCAGCACGAGTTCAATTCAAGGCCCCTGAAGTGGCCCACATGGCGAGGCAGACCTCTCCTGACCCGCCCGCTGCTCCCCTCAGCAGTGTACTTCGTCAATCTGCCTGACCTGCTCCCCACTCTGTCTCTGGTGAATCCTCGCACCACCCCTGCACCTCTGGCCTGTACCCCAGTTCTGTATGCACAAATAAATCTTTAAAAATTGATTTAAAAAATCACAAGAAACAGGCCCTCCCTGGTGGCGCAGTGGGTTAAAGCACAGCACTGAGAATCTGAAGCCACTTCCGTATGAGTTCGATTCCCGCCTGCCGCCTGCCCGGGAGGAGACCACATGGCGAGGCAGACCTCTCCTGACCCGCCCGCTGCTCCCCTCAGCAGTGTACTTCGTCGATCTGCCTGTTCTGCTCCCCACTCTGTCTCTGGTGAATCCTCTCACCGCCCCTGCGCCTCTGGCCTGTACCCCAGTTCTGTACGCACAAATAAATAAATCTTTAAAAAAAAAAAAAAAAAAAATCACAAGAAACAAGCTTGTAAATGTTCAATATTCTCAATAAGGTACCATATAAGGGAAGCAGCTGACAACAGGCTGAAATAAAGAGGAAGGAGTTGAAGGGTGTGAACCCTAGAAGGGTAGCGGAGGGGATGGATGAGAACACTAAGGTTAAACTCCTGACCAGCAGAAAGATGCATCAAGAGTTGAGGGCATCAACTTGAAGTGAGAACAAAACAATGTTTTTCCAGAGACACCTTCCATTGCTTAGCTAATTTGAGACAAGGGTATATGCAAGGAAAGAATTATAATGACTGACCACAGAAAATTAAACTGGCTGGTGAAGAAAAAAGATACGAGGGTTAGGGACAGAGAGCAGAACCAATGACTGTAGATGAGTAAAATGATGGCAAAAAGTAGTAGTGAGGGGAGGGCAGGAAACAGCAGTCGGAGTTCCAACTCTGAATTTATGATAGCAGGCGGGGTGAATGCTTGGTAAAGCCAAGGTCTAAGGCATGACCACAGATTGAGTAACTGAAGGTATCATTGCAATCAAGGAAAGAGATTTTTAAAGGCCCCTTTAAGTATCTCCCAAAATCGCCAAGTAGCAGTGTTAAAATAACTCGACAGTGCTAGTGTTACACAATGAACCAGACTTAACATTTAAAAAATGAGTAAGACCAAGAAATCAGTGGATGTAATAACTGGGTAAGAGGTAGTATTCTGTGACATGAAACACAAAATTAGGGGTGGGGGGTTTACAGGGGAGGAATAAGGGAGAACAGCAACAAGAAGGATCCCTTCCCTTTCTTCTAGTGCAGTCTGATGACCTGGGAAGGCTTCAGAGAGAAGGGTATACCAGAGTCAGATGTCCTAAAGGACAAAGTAAGACATCACCAAAACTGGCCATGCCTCCAGGACTGTTTTATCAGCACCAAAAGCTGAGTGGCTTAAAGCACAGTACTTTATTGTCTCAGTTCTGGAGGCCAGAAGTCCAAAACAAAGGTGTCAGCAGAGTTAGGTCCTTCGAGGGCTGTGAGACATTCAATCACAGTTTCTCCCTGTGTGTCTTCACATACTCCTCTCCCTATGTATGTCTGTTCCCCTGTCCAAATTCTCCCCTCTAATAGGACATCAGTAAAGTCAATTAATGCTATACCCTGATGACCTCATTAACTTGATTCCATCTATAAAGAGCTATTTTTCCAAAGTGACTTTCTGAGCTACTGGGGATTAGGAAGTCAACACAACTTTTGAGAAGGATACAATTCAGCCAATAACACTGACCATTTATCGGGGATTTTCAGGTAACATATCTAGGAGGCAGAGGGCAAAGATTTTAGGAACTGATAGTAGTGATGGCTACAAAAGAAGTCTGATCCCCTATGTGGATCAGAATGCAGAAGGAAGGATTGTCCTGAAAATCTAGAACATCTCCTAGTAACAAAGATTAAGGGCACACAAAAGAACTGGTCTACTATACCCTAAAAACAGAGATCTGTACCCTCTCTCTCTCTCTCTTTTTAAATCAATTTCTCTAGGCACAGAAATATGAATAAGAGGTACAATTAATGATATAAAAATTAAAAAGATGAGAATTATACTTACCTTCATATTAACATGCCTGAAAATATGGGTAAGAGGAATAATTTCCTACAAAAATAATTTATCAAGACTTCCTTTAAAGTATAAAAAGCTTTCCAAATAACCCCACACAAACAGATACTATGATTAAAAACACCCCCTCCCCAAAAGAAAATGCATGGCCTAGAATGGCTTACAGGCAAGTTCTACCAAACTTTTTAATGACTGCTCCTATACAAACTCTTCAGGAACAGAAGCACAGGAAATACTTCCTAACTCATTTTATGAGGTTAATGTAATTATTAGGTTAAAACTAGATATGAAAAGAACTAGAAAATGAAAAGCTCATTTCCAGTCACAAATATAGATGTAAAACCCTAAATTAAGTACTAACAAATCAAACCCATGATAATGACAAGCTATGATTCACCTTTGTGTTCCCCAAGAACCCACAGAAGTTGCGAAGGGGAAAGATGTCCTAAAAGAACTCTGCAGAATTTGGTGGACTCCACTCCTATACTCCAGCTTTCTGGATCCCACACCCTACTCCAGTGATTGGAAACTACAACTCCCAGCAGTACCAGGGAGAGAACTGTGAGGACCCAAGGGAGGAGCTAAGCAGGCATTCTGGGACTTTGGGGGCTAAATAGAGAGCTGTTTTCCCACTGTAGCTCTGGAGAGGTAACAGTTCTCTCTCTGGA